CCAGAAGATATGCCAGATAGAATGCCAGATAGAATGCCAGAAGATTTGCCAGATAGAATGCCAGAAGATATGCCAGAAGATATGTCAGAATATATGCCAGAAGATATGCCAGATAGAATGCCAGATTGAATGCCAGAAGATATGTCAGATAGAATGCCAGAAGATATGCCAGATAGAATGCCAGAAGATTTGCCAGATAGAATGCCAGAAAATATGCCAGAAGATATGCCAGATAGATATGCCAGAAGATATGCCAGAAGATTTGCCAGATAGAATGCCAGAAGATATGTCAGATAGAATGCCAGAAGATATGTCAGAATATATGCCAGAAGATATGCCAGATAGAATGCCAGAAGATATGTCAGATAGAGTGCCAGAAGATATCCCAGATAGAATGCCAGAAGATTTGCCAGATAGAATGCCAGAAGATATGCCAGAAGATATGCCAGATCATATGCCAGAAGATATGCCAGATAGAATGCCAAATAGAATGTCAGAAGATATGTCAGATAGAATGCCAGAAGATTTGCCAGTAAGAAAATGTATAAATGTCATGGTGGGGATCGCACGAAGTAAAGTAATTTATGGCTAAAATCCCTATAAACTTATGGTTGTGTTTTCCCTTTTTTGTGGCTTATCTTCTCACTTTTTATGGCTAAAATCACATGTTTGGTGCCAACACAATCTGTGTGATGCCGCTGCTCCTCTGTCTTGGCCGCTCCTCGAGACGTCGCTTCCCATAGCGGAATTCAGCGACGTGGGAAACGCGACCCGCGCGACTTGATGAAGGGCAGGCAGAAGTACATGATATATATATATGGATATAAGTATTGAATAGTAGATATGAGTAGTGAATATATCTGGATAGAAGTATTTATTATACAGATGTCATCACATGTCCATAAATGTTGGTTTGTAACCCAAAAAATCAGCATCATCCCAATAGCGAAGCCGGTGAAAGGACTTGGAAAATAGTGACCATATGTTCCACGTATGTTTGCCGAGCATTTCGGCCGTTAAACACGGTTGTTTGTGTTTAGTAACTTTAAGAAACACATGCTGAATATTTTTCTTAGGCAGTCTGTCGAGACATCTCAAAATTTCGGTGATTGAGTTGGTGAGATGCATGCGTTAACCAACAACATGGGATGAAATGGGGAAACAAGCATTAATCACTGGGGGCTTAATAACAACAGCATACAGGTGATACCATATTATTTGTATGATATTATACACACATAACATAGCTGTTTATAACTGTTGTTCTTTATATCTGGATTAAAATTTAATCACGATGCAATGCCGATGCAAGGCGTAAATGATGATTAGGATGTAACTAGCATATTTTAAGATATGTTATGGCCATTTGTCGCAAGTTAGTGAATTATTTCGGTTTATCGAGACTGATGATCAGTGGTGGGGTTGCTTCAGGCTTAGGATTTCTTCAAATCTGCCAAAGTGTGTTGATCCAGATATCCAGATTATCACAGTGGTACAATTATCTGGATATAACTGTGATAATCTGGATATCTGGTACATTTTATCCATTATGATGGTGCATTTAACTGTCACAGTTGTGGAACATTTTAACTGCCATGGTGCATAACGAGACTTGTAACTTGGATTGACAACCCCATTAGATATATATATATATGGATGGATAGATAGATAGATTGATAGATAGATAGATGGATAGATAGATAGATCTATCATATATCCGACATACTCCGGCCATATTTGATCTAACCCCCATATAGTTATCCCAGGGAGGCATCACTTTGGAGCACACCAGAAAATGCTGGTGGCAAGCGGCAGACAGCTTGTAAAAAATAGGCCTCTAGATCCTCCATCACCATGAGGTAATAGGAGACAAGCAGAATTACCCTCTGGTAATTTAACATAACTATGGAAAATCACCATTTTTAATGGGAAAATCCACTATAAATGGTCATGTTCAATAGCTATGTTAAATTACCAGAGGGTATTACTGTATCATTGTATTGCTCTCCCCTGAATGTAGGCTTCTAGCTACTCACTGGGTGTTGTCGTGGTTGGTCAGCACTGATTGGCTTCCATCCACCTTCTGGCTGCTTTACAACAGGCTACTTATGGCTATTCAATATTTTTAATCCATTCCCTCTACTAAAGGGTACGCATCCCCAAAAGCCGTGGTCTAGTATTCGATCTGTGCATCTTAGTGTCCCAAATGCAGAGGGGATCATTATAATCAGGAATTGTAATATGATGATATATATAATATATTGATTCCTGAATATTCCTAACAATAAATTGTTATATATATACATTATCCTATTACTCTACTTGTCCATTTCACGGAACGGATGAGTTGGGCATTCCTAGTCGACAAATGTTTCGATCAGATGTGGCCCTCCAACTGGATAATCCATGTTCAGGAACTACTACAGTAGGGGGTCCTAATAATGGACCATCAAGAATCCAGTTACAATAATAGAAAATATACAACAGATAATACTAATAATGCCAAGCATTAATACACCGTATATAATCTATTGGTTAAGAAGAAAATGTTCATGATTAAACCCCCCATAGATGCTGTGGGTGGTGAGAAGCATGTTCTGGCTTGCATGAAACAATCATGGCTAATCTTAGATATCCTGCAAAATATCGCTTGTGAGTCTAGATTCCAATTTATGTAGAACAACCACATTAAGCAAAGCAAAGGTTGACCAGCCCCAAACAACATTAATGATGCGGCATGTGACATGTGGATCATAATCTATGATGCGTGTTTCAAACATACCACGGCCGGCAGAGTACTGACATTTTAACGATGAAACCAATCGGGCGTCCCTTCTGTCACTATCGCGGGTGTCCGGCACTTCCAACGCTGCGCGGGAAAGACTCCCAGTGTTGCGACACGGCACCACATGAGGGATGGTGGTCATTTTTTGTTGCGGGAAGGGGGCATCAAGCAGCGGCGGGTTGTTCTCCATGAAACAGGATGCCAACAGTCAACCTGAGGATCTTTCACCACAGCTTGTTTAACACCAACAAGAGTAATGTATACAAAGGCGGGGATCCAATCATTGGGGTTGCAGACTTATAACTTTAACCTCAGCAACTGGAACCTACACACGTTAGGCCTTTCGGTTCGTGGTGAGTTGGCTACTTGCGCATCCCAGGAATCGCAGAGCAAATGGTGCATAAGCACAAGCCGCATACAAGCCACTTACACTAGGGATGTTCAGCACAGATGTTTCGAGTGATTTCTGGGCCTTATTATATTTACCGGAATCCACATCCACGTCTTCAATGATTTTGATCATGATGTTGAAAACATTGAAAACCCAATTTTGGGTCTGGTTTTTGACCACGTTCAACTGCCAGGGATTCACTTAAATGGTCAAATTAATGAAGTGTTTCCACCAGTTTGGCTTTAAAATATAAAGATGCATCATCGTGCAGGAAAGACGAAGCTGATGAATCTGATGAGAAACCTTGGATTCGTTTTTTTTTGTTTTATAGACATGGGCCATGTGCATATCTGGGATAGTTATGATGGGTAGGAATGAGGATGTGATTATATAAAGGTTCTTTGGGCTTGCCCTAAATGGGATGCTAAAATGGATGCTAAAATGGATGACGAATCAATGTGGAGAGTTTTTCAATGTTTTTCCACACTGCCACTCAAAAAAGACTGGAGATCCAAATGTGAACCTTTTGGCGAACCATTGAAACCACCAATTGAACCATTGAACATGCCCATCTAGATTGTTGTTGCGACTTCACTACCTGATTCATGAAAAAAATCATTTTGGATGAGATATGCTGGGATATGATATGGAATTGAAATTTGTTTATATATATACAATTATATACATATATGATATATGTCAACTTCATTTCTCAGTCTCAATTACATCAATTTGCCGAGCTCCTGTGACGAGCGCTGTCAGCCTTCGGTTCAGACCTGCGACCTGCCGCGAATTTCCAGCCGCCAACACCGTCCCGTTATTGGTGAAGAAATGGGGGCTGTCCGAGTGACCTGAGAAGATTTCGGGCTGGGAACGTGCTGTGGTGCTCAATGGCCTGGTTGGTGAACCTTGGGCACTGCAAAATGCCAGGTATATGTTTGTTGCCATTTTAAGATCTCTTCCTGACCAGTAACAAACAGTGGTTTTGGGGTGTAAAAGTCCAGGCATTTTCCAAGTCCAAGTCCGGAGGAATCCTCTTCCAGACCCATGTGTGGCGTTTTCGTATCCACTCCTTAAGCTGGTGAATGCACGTAGTGCACACAGATATAACCCAGTCCCATACGGTATGAACATAAATAAAGCCAAGTAAAAAATATGGGTGACTCACCGTTTGCTGACAAGTTTAGTGATGCACATTCAGCAACAGCAACCTGGCAACCTGCAATTCTAAGAATATGAACATAAGAAATCCATAGAAATCCCAGAATGTAAATGGTAAAACGTTGCTATGTCTATGTATGTCTCAAAAAGTATAGACAGGGAGTTTCCGTCAGGATGAAAATTCTACTCGTATACGTACGGAGGTGTTTCAGGTTTCCATTTATCAACCATGAATGCGGACTATATGCGGACTTAAGGATTGATTCCACCAGTGGAATTGTTTTTTTCTGAAGTTTATAGAAAAGCTATAAAACATGGACTCACAACGACTTGATACGGCCAAATTTCAAGCTCGCAGCATCCATCCACTCCACCGGGGCCCCCACGTTCAGACAGACTCCAAAAATCATGCTTGGGGCCCCACATGTTTAACCGTGAGATTCCAACGATACCATCTGGTTATTTTCCTAACAGTTTGCCATGGAAAGATCCACCATGCTATTAATAGGTAAACCATCTATTTCTATGGGCCATCTATACCATGGCTATGTTAAATAACCAGAGGCTACCATCAAAATCCCATTAAATCCCATTAAAATGCCATTGGGATCCCAAAATCGCTGGAAAAAATGCTGGCTGGGACTCCATTGCATTGCATGGGAGGCCGGCATTTTGCAGCGAGCCTTGCTCTGTTCGGGATGCCCAACAATACTGAGGAAGTTTGCGGAGGTGAGGTGAGGACTCGAGCTGAAATCCAATTTTTAGTGGAACTCCAACATTCGCAAAATATGGGGACATGGCATCTGGATGCATCTGGGAGGGAGCTAGCGGCCGGCCGCTAGCTCACCCAGGGACAAATTTCAGCGGAAGGGATTCTTCCCCTCCAAATACCTTATAAGAATGCGATGAATGCGGTGTTGGATAGAAAACAACCCCAAATGCTGCGGTGTTTTAGAAGGACACCATTGGGTGTTTGGAGCTGTGGTTTTTTTCAGGAATTGAATCATCAGGGGATGCCACCATTGAAGGTGACTATGTGCTTATTCTCCTGGCTTGCAGTACTGAAACTGGAATTACGATTCCAATTACCCAAAACCTGCCACAAAATTGAGTTTCTGGGTCAACCAGCGGTTTATTTCTGTTGCCACGAAGCGGAAAATAGACTATCCAGCAAAGATCTAGTTATCGGTATCCAAGATAAGGTGAACCCTGTGTTGTACGATCAATCAATACTTTGAATAGTCTACAGAAACCTTCGCTACCCTCACCATAGGGCAGGATTTTGAGGAAAATCACAAACGCGTCTTTAACTCGGGCTTGGGTGTTTTTTTGCGAATCGTCGAGAGTAACGAATATTTCAAAGGTTTTCCGGTTCATAGAAAAATGGACGTCACCATAACAAACACAAAATAAAGCGTGTCTATTTGAAAGGGATTTTAGCCAAAGAAAGTATGGATGCATTAGTGGAAATGTCTTTTTGAGGGGATGTTACCCAAGCAAAACGGAGATTTCACCAAAGTTCAGTTGGGTCACCGACCAGGACCAGCAATACAAAGAATTTTCTTTGGGGGGATGAACGATTCATAAGTATAATATATAGTATAATTACAATCCAGTTGCTCTGATTGGGGCTGCATCCATAATTTGTGTTTGGTGACACTCCATAGGCAAAGTCACTGTTAGCATCGCTATCTCAACAGGTGGCCGCCCTCTCGGTAGTGAACTTGTTGGAGCCTGTTCATTGATTTTGGGTATCCTGAGAACAATGACTGGTTGGTGGTTTCAAACATGTTTTTTTTCCATAATATATGGGATAATCCTTCCCATTGACTCATATTTTTCATGATGGTTAAAACCACCAACCAGATGAACATTTTCATGAACCTTGGTAATTCAAGGTGTAATTACTGTATCTAGGTTGAAACAAATGTTTCAGTTCAACTCCCCTTTTGATTGTTTGACGCCACAATTGTTGTTTATGCAGCTATGCTCCCCATTTTTATTTGTGTTCATCCGTTCTTTGCGTTTTTTGAGATCACATCTTTTGCTGGTAAAATCCATACATTATAAATTAGCATGTCTCTCGACCACGTTTTTGGGCTATCTCTTTAGAAGCTGTTTTGCAATTATTGTCCCCAGATTTGGGTTTTTTTCTTGTCCCCCAAGCCTCAAATTGGGAATTTTGTACTTAGGATCCTGGGGGCAATAATTGCAAAAACCTGGGACGAGAATTCTTTAGCTGAGATCACTTTTTGAATTATTGTCTTCAGGATCCGGAAGACAAAATCTCCAATTTGGGACAAACATTCCCAAGTTGGGAGACAAGAATGGCCAATTTGGGGGACACAAATTACCCAAACCTAGGGACAATAATTGCCCTGGGGACAATAATTCTAAAGAAAACGTGGTAGAGCGCCATGCTAAATCATAACCCCTTTTTTTTGCTAGTTAGAAAACAACCGACTAGATGTGGTACCACCGAGTTAGATTTAGACGTTTATACCACTAGACTATCATTGGCTATCATTGACTATAATCTATCTATCATCAACTCGAGAGTTTACTTAGGAAGAACCAACCTTGATAGGGGGCACCGTGTCACCTGGCCCAGTGTTGCCACGAGGTTTGTGGACCAAAGATGTGTTACGCTTCGCCCAAAGCGCCCCGGCATGGCTGGCAACCGGTTTTATACGATACCCTCTGGTTTAATGGGTATATTGTATATGATAGGTAAAGCACCGCTTAAATAGCTATACAACATAATAGGTATATAATAGGTATACAATAGGATACCATAGGTATATTTTTAGGTATACCTTGTGGTCATTTAATGTAGATAAGGAAAATCACCACTTTGCCATAGGTAAAGCGCCATAAATCATCTATAAATATGGGATTGTCCATAGCAAACGTTAGATTACGGTAAACAAAATAACAGTAGGTATTTTTAAACAAAATGAAATCAAGTTCCTAAAAAACCTACATTGTCATAGTGACATAGACTGTATTACGGAATTTGATTTGAGGTTGTTTCCAGGGTGGAGGTCCCAGAAATGTGCAGCGTTTCTTCCAAAAAGGTCATATGATGTGACCTGATGAATCATCCTGTTGAATTGGGACATGCTTTATATCAATGGGAATTCCAGGATCCTAAATTGGAGGTACTGTACCATATAAGGCCATATTTTGTGGGGATATTCCCTTACATAGCCCTTACATAGGCCTTATATATGGTAGGTACCTCCAGTTTAGGTTCCTGAAATGGCCATTGATTATATGTCCTTCCCTTATTGCCTTGTGCAGAAATTGGAGGTTTCCATCCATAGACGGTCGTGATTTTTTTTTGGTGCCCCGCATGACACCCCACTGTGACAATAGCGAAGATGGCTGTGTGGAGGTGAAAAAATGTTACCTCGTGTGATGCATGGTAACCATGGTACTTGGGAGACTTTCGCTTCTGAATCAGATGGCACAGATTTGTTTTCGCCATGCATGAACAGCTTCGATTTCACCAAGTTTCACTATTCTACGATACTACATTTGCGTATGTTGCGTAGATATGTATAGATAAATGTCAGCAAACGTGATGATTTGGAAGTTCCACAACAAAATCGGGGATGTTAACCAACATTTTTTTTAATAGCAAGAAAAGCGAGAAAACTGGTGGGTAAATCAACAAAGATGAGTCCAACCAACTAAAGCAGTGATTTAGTGAACATACGTGAAACAAATGAGTTGAAACGAGAAAAGTGCGGAGGCAACCAACAATAGGATGTTTGCTGACAAAATCGGTGATGCTTGACCTCCTCAAAGTGTGTGGAGTCTTTTAGCAAGCATTTGTTTTTCAGTGATGAGCTCAATTGGTGACAAACTTCAACCATTATCCCAGCAATCAATAAGTACCAATTCGCCATCCAATGATATGCCTACCCTCTGGTGATTTTATACATGGCTTCCTCAAAAATCGAAACCCAGCTATGGGGGATTTCCCTCTGCCATGTTAACTACTTTCGATTCCGGAGGTGCACCCCTCAGTAGCTATATTCATGTAATTTGTAGATGGGCATGGACATTTGTGCAAACATAAGTGAATATACTATAATATACTATAATATGATATAAAATAATATAATATGATATAATATAATATAATATGATATGATATAATATATATATAATATAATATATATTTTGTTTATTTATTATACACACATTCCCATTGCATCCAGATTCTATACATCCCATGTTTTCCCCAATGATATGCCTATATTCTTGTTGAATCTCCCATGGTATCGATCGAAAAACCACCCGGACACAGGTTCAGCGCTCTTCTACGACCGCTGCTTCTCACCTGAGGCCTGGCAGTGAAGTTTACCCTCTGGTAAACTAACATAGCTATGGAAAATCACCATGTTCAATGGGAAAATCCACTATTTCTATGGTCATTTTCAATAGCAAACTGTTAAACATAACCAGAGGGTAGGGAAACCATTGGTTGATGGGGATCAACTATGATCAAATATCAATGTGGTAAACATCATATGTCATGTTTTGTTTGTTCAAAGCATCCCTTCTTCATCCACCAATTTTATGGATGGGACTTTTTTTCCAAATGGTAGGTTTATGGCAGGTTTACCAAATTGCTGGGATACCCTTCTGTAAACATATGGATAACTCACCCCACCATTTGTTGTTTATTTTTCTCACAGGAAACCCTTGGCTTTCCATATCTTTATCAAACCCCAGGGTATCAAAATGTGGTTTTGGACTCGCTGCAACTGGGTTATTGTTTTTTCTCCCCGATATTTGTTTGATGGCAAAGCGGGGTACTAAAGACTATAGCGGTTGCACAGCATTTGACTATCACCTGCTACTAGCCTACTTTTTGTGAATTATCATCACTATGCTATCACCTACTATCACCACTATTTCTATGGAAAATCACCATTTTCAATGGGTAAATCCTCTATTTTGCATGATGATTCCTGTTCATATCACCCTGTGACCCTGATCCCCATCACTCTCAAGTTGCATCACTTTGTTGAAAAAAACCCCGGGTGTTTCTGGTTAAATCCACGTTGCATTGTCGGTAAAAAGAAAAACAACGGATGGTGATTTTACCAGTTTTTTTTTTTTTCGGTGGTCCATGTTCAGTGTAGGTTACCCGGCCTGGTAAACGTTAACAAAGGTAAACGTTAACAAAAAACTGATGGGAAAGATCCACCATGCTATCAATGGGAAAATCCACGAACTTTCTATGGTCATGGCTTCAATAGCAAACTGTAACAAATTACCAGAGGGTAAATCAGCATGTTCAGTGATTAATTCAGCGGGATCTACAAATGTGATGGTAAAATCAGTAAATCCCATTTTTTGTTGGGTAAACCTTGGGCTATCCAGCCAACCCTGCCAGTTTCTTCCAGATTTCTAGCATTTGGAGTATTGGTCTCCAAGTGACCTTCACTATCCACTGGCATCGTGGGTGAGGTGACAACCACGGTAGATCCCTGTTTGCTGGTTAGATTCACAGACCTACTGACTGGATTTGCCTGGTAAAATCGTGTAAAATCCCCATGTTGCAATCTTCGATTCCCATTTCGATTCCCATAACTCTGTTTGAAACTCCCATGTCTGTTGAATCTGGAAAACAAGACCCCAAAATGGACATCTCATGGGAATTAAACATCATTAAACACCATGAAATCTCATGGGAATCATTGGAGCCTTGAAACCCAACCTCCGAGTCTCGCAGGCGCACAGCGCCTTCCAGTCTGCCGCGGCAGATCTGCCCTCTGAGGCCCAGTGAAAAACCAGTTCTCGGGAACTTTGGTAGTTTAATGATGTTTAATGATGTTTAATGATGTTCAATGATGTTCAATGATGTTTAATGATGTTTAATGATGTTTAATGATGTTTAATGGTGTTTAATGATGTTTAATGATGTTTAATGATGTTTAATGACGTTTAATGACGTTTAATGACTCTTAATGACGCTTAATGACGTTTAATGGTGTTTAATGATGTTTAATGATGTTTAATGATGTTCCATGATGTTTAATGATGTTTAATGATGTTTAATGATGTTTAATGATGTTTAATGATGTTTAATGATGTTTAATGATGTTTAATGACGTTTAATGATGTTTAATGATGTTTAATGATGTTTAATGTGGTTTAATGACTTTGAACGACGTTTAATGACGTTTAATGACGATTAATAACGTTTAATGACGTTTAATGACTTTGAACGACGTTTAATGACGTTTAATGACGATTAATAACGTTTAATGACGTTTAATGACATTTAATGACGTTTAATGACGTTTAATGACTCTTAATGACGCTTAATGACGTTTAATGGCGTTTAATGATGTTTCATGTTGTTTAATGATGCTTAATGATGTTTAATGATGTTTCATGATGTTTAATGATGTTTAATGATGTTCCATGATGCTTAATGATGTTTAATGATGTTTAATGATGTTTAATGATGTTTAATGATGTTTAATGATGTTTACTTATGTTTAATTATGTTTAATGGTGTTTAATGATGTTCAATGATGTTTAATGATGTTTAATGGTGTTTAATGATGTTTGTTGTTTTTTGATCTTTGTTTCTTTTTTGATGCCTCGCTCTCTGCAAACCCTGACCCGGTTGGAGTACAGTAATGATGTTTAATGTTTGATGATACTCTGAACAAAAGAAGACAGATTACGAGAAACATATGCCTCGAGCAGTGATGAGGCACGAGTGCCATGTTGAGTGTCACCAAACCATGCATCTGTGCATCCGAAGTCGACTGTAATTCGTAATGAACTCATGACTCAATGCATGAAGGTATCAAAGATAACCCCAGGATAACCCCAGGAATACAGTTTGCTAGAACTGACATGTAAATTTTAATGTCCATTTTTTTTGCAAGATTTTACATTTGTTTGGTGGAAACCACAATTCTGTGGCAAAACCTTTTTAGCGTGGATGAAACCCGATCTGTGCTGCTTGAAATCCAAAGTCTGGTGGTAAAAATCCCATGTTTTTTTGTGAAAATTTTAGACCTACAATCCTAGACATTCGGACGATAAACCAAGACTAATTTTGGAATATGTTGGATCTAAAGTGCTTCCTACTCCCAGTCAATCTGACCCTCCAGGCCTCCAAGGGCCTGCAGACACCGGAAGGTTTGGTGCCGGCCGTGACGGCTGTTGCATTGTCTGTAACCGGGGAAACCAAATGAATGGGGAGTTTGGTACCTCGTTTGGTACCAACTTATGATTGTTGCAATGTTGGGAAATACGTAGCGAACCATGTGTTTTGAAGGTATTTACGACTGTTCATCGTTTTATGAAATGAGAAATGGTGGAATGTACAATAATGTATATATATATGTAATCCTAGTTGCTTTTGCGGAATAAATGGGCAGATGCACAATGGAAGGTGAATTAAGATCGTGTGGACTTTTTCAAACTTTGTGCCCCCTCCGGCCTCCACGCCAACAACCCCGGCTGAGTTACCACCAGCCAGAAATACTTTCCCCTTTACGTGGTTGAAGGGAAACCATCAACTGTTTGGGTTGCGTGATGTTGCATGTAAAATGATCACTTTCGCGAATCACAAGTATCCATTGTTTCCTTTGAACATAATCCCGCTTAAGAGCTTGAGAAGCGTAGTATACGTTCCCGTTGGGTTATCCCACATATAAGACTCATATAAGTCTGGTTGGTGGTTTGGAACATGGCTTTTATTTTCCCATACATTGGGAATAATCATCCCAACTGACTTTCATATTTTTCATGATGGTTAAAACCACCAACCAGATATAAGTGGTTTATAACTACGGTTACTTGCCACGAATCCGATTCCTGTGCTGATCCTCCATTGAAAAAACCAAGCGGGGCCCAGATCTGTGGCTGCATGGCCTCCTTCCGTGACTTGCTTGCAGTGGGGATACCATGAGGCCTTGCCTGAAAAGAAGGGATTGTGAAGATACCCACAAATTGCCATTTTAATATATTTTAATAGGGACATTGACATTGATGCTGCAATGCTTTTTTTTTGGATTGTATTTTTTGAGGCAAATCCACAAAACATGTGGATTCAGCCATCACCATGTTGGGGTTGAACTATCCAAACTTGTGTGTTGACCATTGACAAGGTGGGTTTAGCCAGACACATGGGATCCACCTTATGTTGTCCCCGCACCTGCGATGCCAGTGTTGGGTTGAACGATGGACATGGGGGTTGCAATGCTGTTTTTGAGTTTTGCCCAACCAATTGGTTTCCAGCTGGTTTGCAAGTGACGTACTTGAAATTATAATATATTGATATTCATAGTTATACTCGAGTATCGAGTTATCTATGGATGGATTAAACCTATTTGTTGGAGTTATTTACAATGTTTCGGAAGCACCGAATCTATCATCTAAGTACGAAAAGGAGTCACTGAAGCTTGATTGATCTACGGTTAGCTCTACTCAGATGACAAATGAGGCCAGTCACCCTCCCATACCTGGGAAAGCCTGGGTTTGACACAGCAATGGTTTGATTTGGGGTCTGAAATGGAAAGAATTCACACGTAACCATGACGTCACCGGCCAAGCATTGAACGTTTTAATATGTATTCAACTCACAGCAGCAGAAATATCTCGCTTGGATGCTTTCCAGAATAAGTCGTTGCGTCGTATCCTTGGGAAACCGCCTACATTCATTGACAGAACGGAAACAAATGAGCGAATGTATGCCGAAATCCGGGATCAATACGGATGTAATTTTAAAAAGTTTGGAGATACCTGGCGCAAAGCCAAACTTAAGTTCTTTGGCCACATTCTAAGATGCAGTAGGGCCGACCCACTTTCTCAAGTAACATTCGCAGCAGATGGGATTCGTCCCAGACATGTAGTATATCGGAGACCAGGCAGACCAAAATTAGATTGGGTGATAGAATCATACAAAGATGCTTTTTCATTTTTAAATGGACAAGGCGTACTGTTTGATCCTGCAAATATCAACCATTTACGGCAAGTCAAAGAACATGCTATTCTCAGAGCATTCTAACGGTATTGACTTGCCAAGGCTTCGGCCTCTCGAGGTACTTCGTTTGGTAATCTCTTCTGTTGGAAAGCACGGTGCTTCAGTTTTTTTTCCTGTGTAAAAATTTCACTACGCAGCTGCAAGCGAATCTGGCTTGCAACATCCGCTTCGTTTCTGCGCTTCGGGAGCTCATTTTGCTCGTTTGAAAAAAACTGATTTTTTAATGGTATATATTTTTCAGTAGACATGGGGGTACTTACCTGGCATGGGAGGGTGATCCCAACTTTTTTGTTTTTTTTGTTGGGGGGGTAAGTATGGTTCAACCACCAAGCAGCTGTTTCTGGTCTCAGTATATCAGAACTGGTGTTGGACATTTTTTTCCGCATGGTTGTAGAGAAACACTGAGATTATATACCCTCTGGTTATTTAACATAGCCATGGAAGCCATGGCCATAGAAATAGATGATTTTCCCAGCTACAAACCTCCATTTATTTTGGGGATTTTCCATGGCTATGTGAGTCATAACCAGATGATATACCCAGTTCTTTAACATTCGTTATCCCCAAAAGCAATCCAACATGGCGAAGATCTTGCCGGTCTTGCGCATCCGCAAGCCAAACGTTGCTTGCCGATAAGTAGAGTCATCTCTATGGTTGTAGAGATATTTCAGCATATTGGCTGTGTTTCTGAATGTCACTATAGGTAATTAATAATCATGTGAAAGAGCGAACTCATGATATGGGATACCCCAGTTAGCATTCAGAACCCATGCATGTGCATGTATATATATATACATATAATACACACACACATTTGACTGCGGATATTTCACCTGTGGCAACCTTCGCCTCTTACACTCAAGGTTGAGGAGCATCGGCACATACGCCATGGTCAGAAGCCCGGGGGTGCTCCCCAGGCATCGTAAGTTCATGGGGATCTACCCTTAGGTAATCAAACATGGCTGGCTCTAAAATCCAGCAAAAATGAAAGTTTGAATTGTAACACCATTTGTAAATGTGACATGTTCCATTGTCATGTTCGATTACCAGAGGGTAACCAACCCCACCAAAGGTGACTTGGTGACTATGCCAATGATAGCAGGTTAAGATCCTTATAAATGTGGTTGTTGGTGGTTAAGATGCGCCTTCAATAAAACCATACCTAGTTGCCTAGTTGAATCCCCATGATACAAGTGGCTTCATTCACCCAAGTTATATCTGGAGGATCACACTACTTGAGCAGTGTTTAAAACCCCTGTTGGTTGATGATTATAGGCTATAGGGGATTATACTACCCAATATATATTGGATTATTATATCTAATCCAATAGGGGAATCCCTCCTAACCAACCAGTATAATGGAATAGACCTTTTCGGAGAAACAAAATCTCCGGTGCTTGTTTTAGAGATAGGCTGCGGAAGAGAAGTCCGCAGCTGCAGAGATCTCGCCGAGCGGGTTGTTCGAGATGGTGGGTTTGGAGTCCGTGTGAATCCTGAGCCATGTCGTGAGTGGGGCGTTTGGAGGTCGAGCTTTTGGGATTGGCGCTGGATTCTGTTTTCTGATAGCCAGGTGATCTTCTTATACTCCGTGGCAAATCCCTAACGCTAGACCGCGTGAAACAACTACTTGAAGCCAAGCGGGCGCCGAAAGCTAGCCAACAGTTCAAGCTGAGCCCACACTGTGCTGAGGAAAGAGACAAACAAGGATTTGGTTAAGTGAACATAACGGGGCCCACCCCACGGCTCTCAGCCCCAGAAAGACGTTACCATCATCCGATCACTGTGCACTAATAATTGGCGCTTGAACCCTTCTTGAGATTGATGCCGCGCCATTTGACCCTTCTTTTCGTTTCCATTCCCTGAAGCGAATGTATTTGGGATTTGCTTCCTTTCCGTTGTTGCGGTGATCTTCGGTTGCCTTGATTTTGTTGCGGTCTTCTTTATTCTTCTTGTGGTCCTCTGCTTTGCTGTGGCTGTGGCGGGCTGTCGTCTTTGCCGTCGTTGTTCTTCTTGGTTGTGGTCTTGGTCTTTCTCTCGTTGGAGCTCTTCTTTCCGTTCTTTTGCGCTCCTTGCCGTCCTTTTACGCATGTCATTGATCTTCATGTCGAGGTAGAAGCGTCGTTGTTCCTGATGTTGTTCCCGCAAGGCTGCGTGTAAGCGCCGAGCGCGTCATCAACAGCGGCCCATCGGACGCCATCGGCCATAGGTGCAAATCAGAAACACCAAAGTCCAAAGTGCTGACCCAAAGGTCAGTGGAGCTGAGTTGCCAAGACCCAAAGTACCAAAGCGGCGGCGCACAGCCGCAGACTTCTACTGCGCGTACGCTTCAAACCCTGCCCGCTATCGCAACCATGACTTATTAAATTGCACAAGAATTTGAAACTCAGAGGTTTCTGGTGATCAGAGGTAACCTTACCAATTTGCCAACGCACAGCTTTCTGGAATGCTCAGTGGTGCAGGCAAAGCCATACTGCATCATAGATGTGTCTTCAGGATTCAAGCTGGGCTTTCAGGTTCCGATCATTGACATTGAGTGCAAAGCAGTTGAAGTCTGCGCTGGAGCAGGTTTCATGGGTGAAGGCCTTTCGGCCTGCGGAGTGAGCATCCAAGCAAGTAATGATTTGCAGAGTGAACTTTGTGCATTTCAAGTCCGTCAGGGTCAACAGAACGTCTTTGTAGGTGACATTGGACAGGCTTCTGTAATTGCGGCAATTCACACTTCCAGCGGACAGCCCAACATCATTTCAGGAGGCTTCTCCTGTCAGCCTTGGTCACAGTTGGGGGACCGAAGAGGGTTGGATGACAATAGGTCAAGCAGCCTCAACAAGATCCTTCAGGCTGGGCATTGGTTAAGGGCCCGATCAATTTTGTTGGAATGTGTTTGTGCGGCAGGAGTGGATGATCAAGTCAAGTCAGTGATCCAGTGTTTTTGCAAGCAGACAGGGTACCGAGTCACTGCGGGAGACCTTTTATTGGAATCACTTCTACCGGCCAAAAGGGCCAGGTGGTGGTGTGTCATTTCAGATGCATCCGTGCCCCCATTCAGCATCCGACCATTGCCTGTTTTGCATCCGAAGCCAACCTTGGCTGAAATGTTGCCGGTTTTACCAAGTTGGGACCTTAGTGACTTTGAGCAACTTGTGTTGGACAGGTATGAAACAAACAAATTCATGGAGTTTGGAGGGCTCTTTGAAAACATGCTTAGAGGTGATGATCAGGTCAGAACAGCCTTACATGGATGGGCAAACCAGTTGACCAGTTGTCCATGCGGGTGCAGGAAACATCCGTTCTCGGAAGAAAGGTTGAGAAACAAGGGAATTTTTGTGGCACTGATTCCAATCCAAGGGGAATTTAATACCTATCAGGGAACCCTGCCAATGACTAGGCACATGCACCCTTGGGAGATGTGTTGGATTCATGGTGCAAACCCAAATCGACTTTGGAAACCAAGCATGTGTTTGGGGATTGCAGCAGCAGGTCAGATGGCCACACCGGTCCAATCATGTTGGGTTGTGGCACAATTGCAAGCTGCAGCCGCTCAGGGAGAAGGCATACCACTTGCGCCAGGACAAGCACTGTGGAATCACTTCCAAGTTGTTTTTGCTGCTGCCACAATGACGCAACCAGCCATCACAGGTCATGAATCATTCAAAGCTTTTGAGCTTTTGCACGTCGCTTGCATCAGTGTTTGTTTCACTCCGCCCAGATCAATGCTGGGCCTGCATTGCCCATTGGGGCCAGTGAAGAAAATACAAACAGCCAGCGACAGGGACGCGAGGACCCTCAAAGTGGGATTTACAAAAGTACTCAAGAGCCAATGGGCCAAAAACAGACAGCGGTGGAGGCGCAAGAACTCCCCCTTCCCATGTGTTTGCAGGCCACGCCTCGTGACTTTCCAACAGCACTTGGCCCCACACCCCCCTTGCCAGGTCCCCCAGTTTTGAGCTTTGCCAACAGCAGTAGGCCTATCCAAGAAAGTGTTGTACAGCCACCGCAAGATGTACAGGGCAGTGATCAGATCAAGTCTCACCCAGTTTTGCCTACGCAAGCTTCAGGGCATGACCAGACCAAGCAATTGCATGCACATCTTGTTGATCCACATTGGTCTCACCAAGTTTTGCCTATCAGTAGCCCTTGCTCCAGCCGGGAGCCTGTCTTGCCCAATGGGGCCAAAGAAGAAAATTCAAACAGCCAGCGGGAGGGACGCCAGAACCCTTTTAAGATGGATGAAAAGAACAAACAAGAGCCAAAGGCCAAAAAACAGCCAGCGATGGAGACGCCAGAACTCCACCCTCCCATGAGTTTGCAGGCCATGCCATGTGACTTGCCAACAGCACTTGGCCCCTCCCAAACCCCTGCTGCAGAGGGAAATCAAACCGTTGGAGCCATGCCACATGTCAAAGTTGGAGAGCCTGGTAACTCAAGTGCAGAAACTGAGGAAGCTAGTGCAGCCAAGCTTTTTCACACGGAACTTTTTGGCCGACCTGGACAAACCAAGGGAAGACCAAAGGTTAGCAACCAACCTCAGTCACATGTAGCAGCCTTTTTGCAGCCAAATGTACAGGTTCCAGTTGACCAGCTGACCAACCAAGCCACGCATTCGAACCAAGGCGGGATCACAGCTTTTGCCACAAAAGCCAGTAAGAGTCAAACAGGTGAAGCTGTCAAAGTAACCCACACATGTTCGACTCAGGTGGAAGGAAAACCAGGTGTCTTTCCAACAGCACCTGGGCCTCACTCACATGATCAAATGCCAAAGACCCCACAACCAAAGGGGCTTGAGACAATCAGAGAATCCATGCCACAGGGAAGCAAAGCCGAAGTTGGGCACAAGCCCAGCACCCACAACCATTGCAGCCCTCCAGACGACCAGCCATCCTTCACGCAGCAGATTGAAGGTGAAATTGAGAGCATTGAAGCTCAAGGTGAAACAGTTGCATCCAAGACCAACTGCATTTCTCATCTTGTACAGCTTTTTCAAGATGATTTTGCCAAGCCCTACAATGTTTCGATCGATCAAGATGCCACAGTAGGATCTGTCACGGTTGCAGAAGTTTCACTTGGCACCATGGCACAGCCAGTACGTGTGAGTTCATGCATGGGAACACCAGTCAAACTGGCTGAGTGTACCTCTCCGATGCAACAGCTTTTTCTCCATCGGGCCGGCATTTATGAACCAGGGGTTGCAGGCCACATTGATGCAAAGCAAACCCATCCCAAGAATTCAGGTACTCCATAACCAAGAAGCATGGGTAGCTGATGATGAAATGGATTTCTACTTGCACATGATCAATACGACAGGTGCTGTCAATGTAGGAAGAGTTGGGATTGTCCCTGCCTTTTTCGAAGACGATGAATTGGAAGGGATTTTGCATCAATGGTTTTCTGCCATCATCCCTGCTACCGACTACCAAGGGAAGACCATTTCAGCACTGTATGTCGACAAGCACTGGTTTCCAGTTGTCATCACACCGCAGGCGGGGTCTATCCTGGTCCAAACGACTCCAGGGGGAATCCCATGGATGGAGATTGCAGTTCGAACACAAGGCATTGAGTACTCATTGGCCCCAGTACCAGGTGCTATCTTAGGGGCTTTCAACAATGATTGTGGATTCCAAGTGATTGCATGGCTCACAGAAGCGGTCTTCAACTCTGAGTTTGGCACTCCTTTTCAACGGGTCGCACCAATCGAACTTCACACAGCCATTGCATGGAGGGGCATTTTTGAACAGCACTTGCACTTGTCAAAAGAAGGTCAAGCGTTGATTGCACCAACCACACTTTTCTTTGGGGGAGCTGCCACCATGGACACAACCAAACTGTTGGCCGAATTGCTTGCCGATAGAGGTGTTCCATTAGATGCAGTTCAGCAAAGGGCCGAGAGTGTCATTGAGAAGTTGGGTAGGCAGCCTATCCTCAAAGCCTTACGTTCCCAGAACCCATGGAGAGAAGCCAAACACCTTGCCAATTTGGCGGCGCCGAAGATCCAATTGGTGATGCAGTCAGAAATGCAAGCTGCCATCCAAGCCCGAATTGATGATGGGCAGCCATTTGGGGATAAGAAAAAGAAACTTGCTAAGGAAAGAAAGCCCAGGAAAGAACTTGCATTAGAAGCCAGTGATGTAGGTATCCCTGAGGGCATTTTCCGTGATGCAAACAATGCACAGCTGACCCAAATCCCCATTCAGAACATCGGACCGGAGGCAAGAGGGGTAGTAGTTGTCACAGCTGAGCAAGCTGCTCCATACTTGCGTTTCTCCCAACCAGTGTCGAAACATGGCCTTGCATTGATTGTCATCAACCACAGCAGTCCGTTGGTCCATGGGTCAGGCGAAGAAATCAGATTCCCAGCCAGGTTTGAAAGAACTGCCGAACCAATTTTGCTGTCAGCCAGAATCATCCAGATTGGCAACATTGAGGTCACCAGGGTCTCACCACAAAACATCACTAAGGTGGATGAAGTGAGCACAGTCGTCATAAGGATCTGCACATACAGAGATGAGCTCCAAGCAATCAAATGGGATGTGTTTTGTACAAAGCCGATCAAGCACATAGTTGAGGACGTCCCATTCCTCCAGCCATCAAGTGATGGGACCAGCCCTATCATCGATGTATGGGATCGTCAGTGGCTCACCGAACGCCTTGAAAGAACCAAACCAAGTGACGCCACGCTTTTCTGTGCATGCTTCCGAGTTGAACTCACTGAACTCCTGCAGGTCCTCCAGCACCAGGGTCGTGTAGCTCACTACTTGGAGTCAAGAAGTCAGGATGGAAGGACCCCCAACGGTGATTTCAGAGTCATCTGGATCAACAAGAAAGATCGTCAAGCAGTCGTGTTGGCCTCCCAATCAACGGCTCAGTGGACATGCATCGTACGGGCCGGGCACCGTTTTGGCCTTCGAACCCAGCTCACTGATGCCAAGGTTGTACATGAACAGCATAAGCCTCAGACACCGTACCTGGAGACAGCTGATTTGCTCACCTTTCATGCTGGCCCATTTCCACACGGTTCCAATAGATCTGCACTGGTGAAATTGTTTGCAACATGGGGATGGCAGGCACGACCCACTCAACCCAAAGCCAGGACAGCAAACGGCCAGGGGGTCATCTGGGAGGTCCAGGCAGTTGCAAAGCCACAGTTCGAAGTATATCAATTGGCCCATGCAGATATCCTCATCACTGAGATCCCTCGAAAAACCAACAAGAGTCCTGCGAATGCCAATGATATCCAGGGTTCTGCAAGGACCATTGCAGCACTCACCAAGGACAACATCCCACATGCACCTGCCGACCCATGGGACAGCCAGGACCCATGGTCAGGTTACCAACCGCCTGCCAAGATTAGCAAAATCACTGGCAGCCATGAGCTCAGAGAGGGTGAGATTGATGCCATTGCAGCGAGGGTTCAGCAAAAACTCCATAATATCAAGCCACAGCCGAATCGCCAAACCCCACATGACGAGGATGCCAACATGCAGACCGATGACAGAGTTGGTCAACTGGAGGAAAGGCTGAATCAGATGGAAACGACAATGCATGAGCAGCACAGGCAGCAGACACAGATCACTAGTGACCTGGCCAGCCAGATCACTGCAGTGCAGCATCAGACCCAGGCTATCCATAGCCACATCGATCAAAGAATGCAAGAACAGCTCACCAACATTGAGCGGCTCCTGAGCAAACGAAGAGCTGAATGACTGGAGCAGCGGACTGTCCAGCCTGGACAGTTGACGCTGCCAACCCATACAGATGCCACTGGAAGGCCCTTTGGCCACAGTGTACAGACGGAAAAGCCGACCCAGGGTAGCAGGAGCCGAAGAGTTCACTTGCCTGGCCTCAGCTTGCAGTTTTGTAGAGGAATTTCCCTTTTTAAGTTCATCATTTTGATGGTTTTTGCACGGGTCGGGGAGGCCCAAAATCCAGGCCCATTCACAATTGGAGCTGCCAATCCGACAGGAGCCTTGGGAAAAGCCCACATGTTCCAGGAGATGCATGGCCAGCAGCAAGGCCCTCGAATATGGGGGTTATCCGAAACCCATCTCACCAAGCAAGGGCTAGAAAAGTTCTAGATTGAGCTTCAGCAACAACCTGACAAATGGAAGTACGTTCCAGGTGAAGCAGCGCCACCACTGTCCAAAGCTGTGGGCACCATAGGTGGTAAAGCAACCGGCGTTGGAGTTCTCACAGACTGCCCTGTTAGAGCACTTGCTGGACAATGGCCAAGCCAGCATTGGAAGACGGGTAGAATCCAAGCCTGTGCAATCCATGTGCAACAGAACTGGATCAAAGAAGGAATTTTTTATGGTCTTGCCAAAGACGCCCACACAAAGGCCACGAAAGATCACAGTGATGCCATTTTGGCAAACCTCACAGACCGCATCGTTTTTGCATCCAGGGGTTTTAGAGTTTTGATGGGTGACTTCAACCAGACCACCCAAGATCTGGCGCAGTTTGATGTCTGGAGGAAACATGGTTTTCGGGAAATACAAGAACTTGCTTGTCAAAAGTGGCACCAAGAAATTGTCCCCACTTGCAAGAACAAATCAGTCAAAGACCATGTTTGGATTAGCACTTGATTTCAGTCCAAGTAGATCCAACCGTTTTTGCCGACCATGCCGTAGTTTCAGCCACATTTGCAGACCTGCGCCCTCCAAAGCCTGTTCCTATTTGGAGGAAACCAAAAGAGATCCAATGGAAAGAGATCAACCAACGGACGACCACAGTCCCCCCAGAAGCAGAATCATACCTGGAAGTGTTCTCACAGCTTGAGGATTTTGCGCATGAGTCCCTGGTGCAACAAGGGGAAATTGGACTTATCCAACCACAAAGGGGTAGGGGAAAAACCACCAGCCCTTCTTGGGCAAAAGCTCCTGTGACACCGGTCAAGCCATCACGGAAAAATGAGCATCAAATCCAGTACCTTGGGGAAAACTACCAGCATACAAAGTGGTGCCGTCAGCTCCGCCGCATCCAGAGTTATGTGGCCCTCTCCAAATCCTTGAAAGACGATGCCAATACCACCAGCCATAAAGCACTTTTGTGGACAGCCATCAAAGCAGCCCCGGGTTTCCCTAAAGGCTTTCCCTCAGCTTGGGAGAACAGAGCAGCGAAGCTCATTGATGCTCCTTTGAAACTGCCAATGCGACCGCCACAGTATGAAGTTGCCCATGCAATTTTCATCAATTTCCAAGCAGAGTTTCGAGCATTGGAGAAGATGTTGAATAGCCAAAGAAGACAGGTTGCAACAGCCAGGAGACTTGCAAACTCCAACCTGGTTTTCAAGGACGTTTCCAAACCAAGAGCCTTGCCAGTTCAGACTGTCGTTCAGAGGAAAACAGCCACCATCACAGATGTCCAGCATGATGGGTTGGAAGTTCATTACGAGCCAACTGACCTTGATCACACGCAGGAAGTAATGACAGATGATGGAGCCTTGTTCATCAGCCACCATGAACCAGGTAAGCTCACATTGGATCAACCGGCAAATGCGGAAGTTGGTGACAGCATTTACCAGACAAATATCATTGGTGACCACCAAGAGATTTTTGCTGCCTTCAAGCGCTTGTGGAGTCCAATGTGGAATCGACATGATGGCAGTGAAACTGATTGGACAAGTTTTGCACACCAAATAGCAGACCTGCCAGGAGCCCAGTCCGAAATGCCAATGAGTAAGATCACAGCAGATCAATGCCACCACGCCATCCAAACCAAAAAACCGACCACTGCCACAGGCCCAGACGGAGTGTCCAGAGCCGATTTGCTGAATATGCCAGACCATTTACAACATACCCTACTAAGTTTTGTCAACAAGTTTGATAGTGGGGAGCTTGCATGGGATGATTCAGCTTTGGTAGGACATATAGCCAATGTGGAGAAGTCACCAACAGCTTCTGCCCCCCAAGACTATCGGCCGATTACAGTCCTGACCATGCCCTATCGTGTTTGGGCCACCGTGATAGGCAATGCCTTAGGTGGTTGACTCAGTTTGTGCCAGCAGGATTGAAAGGAAATATCTCTGGGAGGTCCACAGTTGATATCTGGTGGAACATGGCCCTCCAGATTGAACAGGCCACTCACGATAAGGATAGCCTTAGTGGGGTTGTAACTGACATCACCAAAGCCTACAATAATCTTGCAAGGCCAGTTGTGTATGCATGCGCGTTGCACTATGGCTTACCACTGCAGTTTGCGCGAGCTTGGCACAACTCCTTGGCAAGTGTCCTGAGGCATTTCTTCGTCCAAGGGGCATGTTCGGATGCAGTTTGGAGTACAACAGGATACCCTGAGGGGGACCCACTCTCCGTAGTAGCAATGGTTTTGGTCAACATAGCTATGCACTCGGTTCTGAGTAAACAATGCCCAACTGCCAGTGTCAGCACTTTTGTTGATAATTGGGAAGCCATCGCTAATGACCATGAGGTGACACGTAGAGCGACGTAGAGCATACTCAGCAATGGAGTCTTTTGCCACCAGCGTCCACTTAACACTTGATACAGCAAAAACACACTTTTGGGCCACACAAGCAGAGGATAGAAAGAGTTTGAGGAATCAAAACCATCGAGTCATTTTGCACACAAAGGACCTTGGAGCACAGTTGAACTATACCCGCAGGTTCACCAACCAGACAGTGCGCGCACGCATTGCCAAGACCCAAGCCTTTTGGGGTTTGCTAGCCAGAAGTTTTGGGGTTTGCTAGCCAGAAGTTGTGCGTCAGTGGATCAAAAGTTGAGGGCCATACAGGCCGTTGCATGGTCACGGTGTCTCCACGGCATCGCTGCAGTAGCACTAGCAACTGAACAGTTTCAGAAACTTCGTGCCCAAGCCATGGCCAGCATGAAATGGAACAAAAAAGGAGCCTCATCCACGATCCAATTTGGACTGGCTCACCCAAAAATTGACCCAGGTTTTGTTGCGTTGTTGGACACGGTGTTCACTTTCCGTAACTTTTGTGTCCCAGCCATTGCTTTCCCACTCCTTTCAGGTCTTGTAGCCAAACCACCACGGCATTTTGACCCAGGACCATGTGCAGTACTCCTAGCTAGGTTACATGAGGTAAACTGGCAGTGGGTAGGAGAGGGTTTTTTGCAAGACCATGAGGGTTTGGAGATCCATTTGCTCAGAACACCTTTGCAGTTGCTCAAACAAAGACTTCTCCACGCATGGGAAAGACAGGTTGGTTACAGCATGCAGGAAAGAAAAGACTTCGCAGGTCTTGGCAAAGTAGATGGAGAGCTCAGTAGAAACTCAACGGTCAACACAGGGGAAGAAAGAGGCATTTTGCGCTCAGTTCAAAATGGAACTTTTTATACAAGAGATAAGCAGATACATACAGGAAAGATTCCGAGTGTTCATTGCCCTTTTTGCAACTGCAATGACTCACTGCAGCACCGCATATGGGAATGTGAATTTTTCAGTGATCTGCGTGAAGCCATCCCACCACAGGTCAAAAGGTTTGTGAGCACCCAACCGGAATGCTCTAGGTATCATGGTTGGTTCACAGAGGATTGGACAGATGCAGCATTGCGCAGAGCACTTCATGAACTGCCCACTGAACATGAGCACCACATACCACCAGTTTTGCCTGAGGTTTTGCACTTGTTCATAGACGGAGGTTGTTTGAACCCTACAAATAACCGGCTCCGTGTAGCGGGATGGGGATGTTGCCTTGCCATGTTGCCTCACGAGGAGTTCAGACCCATTGCAGCTGGGCTCGTGCCGGGCATGCTCCAGACACCACTGCGAGCAGAAATCACAGCCGCAATTGAGGCCTTGAAGTTTGCCATTGGTTGCCTGAAACCCCTTTTCCTGTGGACAGACAACCAACATGTGTACAATAAAACATGGGCTGTCATGAAGGGGGCCATGATGCCAGGCCCAGAGCACAGCAACCATGACCTTTGGGGAAATTTGCATCAACTTGTAGGTCAAGCAGTATCACTCGGACTGCTCCAGCAGGTGATCAAAGTCGTTTCCCATGTTGATCTTGCGCAAGTACAAGGAATCGTTGACAGATGGGTGATTCAGGGTAACCATGCAGCTGACAACCTTGTTAGCACAGTTTTGAACAACTTGCCAGGCAGATTAGCTGAGACACTGAAAGCAGCCACTCAAGCGTTTCATACACGCCAAGAGGCATGTAGCAGGGTCCACCAATTTTTTGTGCAGATGGGGGTGCGAGCAATCAGCTTCAAGCAGGACATCCGGGTGGAAGACGATAGCAAGTGGAATGACATCAAAGAGACACCAGAGCAGGCAGAGCCACAACAGCTTAGCTTCTTACCTTTTCCTTCACCGCTACAGCTGCCAGCTGAGCATTCTTTTGGGGAATGCGCATCAACCATCGCCAGTTGGTTGGAGAAGTTAGTGGTTGGAGAAAGACATGTTCCTATGTGGTTAAGCAGCTATCAACTGTTGATTCACTACCAGAGCACCACTGGTTGTATTGGACTGCATTACAACAGAAGTAATCGAACTTGGGACAATGGTGAAGAACATGTACGATTGGAAGGGTATGATTTTAACAGGTATGCAGGATGGTTGGTCGCGGCCATCAAGGCTTTCTCCAAGTTGGTCAAACTCCCAATCACAGTTCAACCAAGGCTTCCTTGGGGTTCAACCTTTCGATGTTGGCAGAGGTGTATCTATGTCACTGCATGCAAAGATCAGTTTTCCTACATAGACAGGTACCTTCGTGACCGAGGAATCACTGCAGTAAAGAAGGTGACGGCCTTTCAGCAGTTGGAACCAGTTGGTCAGGGATTCCGTTAGCCACCTACGCTGTCGCGTATTTGTTTCACCAATGCGTGGACACTCAGCCGGGCGGAAAACGGAAAATGGAATGACAGAGGGTTTTAAACACTGCGTTGCCTTTCTTAACAAAGTGGTAATTTTACTTAAGAGAATCGTGATAATTATGAGGATTTGACCAAGGAACCAACGGAAAGGGTACATCATAGTACACTTTCTGTTGTTGCTTTGCATGGGGATTTATAATATGGAACATGGATATATATATATATATATACAACATATGATTTATGATAAGTATAATAATGATTTACACTAACCGGCTGAAACAAACAAGTGCAGGGTACTGGGTATCCAAGATGGCCATGTCATGGAGATTTCGGGAAAATGTGGAATTGATTTCCAGGGAGATTTGTTTGTCAATGTTTGGTATGAACCTTGGTGGATGGTAAGTCAAGTTGTTCCCCACCTGCCAGGTGAGGGTTGTTAGATTTTATGTCAGTTGCCTCCTCCTGCCTCGTCCTCCTCCTCCTCCTCCTCTCCTCCTCGTCCTCCTCGTCCTCCTCGTCCTCCTTGTCGTCCTTGTCGTCCTCGTCGTCCTCGTCCAACTGCGACCCGCGATCCACAGTGTTCTCTGCCGGACCTCAACCACGACCATCCACGCCCAGTGTTCCCCCAGTGTTCCCTGCCGGACCTCAACCACGACCATCCACGCCCAGTGTTCCCTGCCGGACCTCAACCACGACCATCCACGCCCAGTGTTCCCTGCCGGACCTCAACCGCGAGTATCCACGCCAAGTGTCCCCTGCCGGACCTCATGTAGGAAGATAAAATGTCAGATAGAGTGCCAGAAGATTTGCCAGGTAGCATGCCAGAAAATATGCCAGATATGATAGAATTGCCATAAGATATTCCAGAAGATATGCCAGATAGAATGCCAGATAGAATGCCAGATAGAATGCCAGAAGATATGTCAGAATATATGCCAGAAGATATGCCAGATAGAATGCCAGAAGATATGTCAGATAGAATGCCAGAAGATATGCCAGATAGAATGCCAGATTTGCCAGATAGAATGCCAGAAGATATGCCAGAAGATATGCCAGATAGAGATGCCAGATAGAATGCCAGATAGAATGCCAGATAGAATGCCAGAAGATATGAGATAGAATGCCAGAAGAATAAGAATGTCAGATATATGCCAGAAGATATGCCAGATAGAATGCCAGAATGCCAGAAGATATGCAGAATGCCAGAAGATAGAATAGAATGCCAAATAGAAGATAGTCAGATAGAATGCAGAAGATATGCCAGAAGATATGCCAGATAGAATGCCAAATAGAATGTCAGAAGATATGTCAGATAGAATGCCAGAAGATGTGCCAGTAAGAACATGTATAAATGTCATGGTGGGGATCACACGAAGTAAAGTATTTTTTCTGGTTATCTTTTTGTTGATGGAAATTGACCGGTCACCAGCTGAAGCAAGCCTGGCTTTTTGTCGATGTATCCTTAAGATTAGCCCTAAAATTAGCCATGCGCTTTACCAAGTGATGGGAGAATTGTGGAGAATCTAAAAAAAAGGTGGTGAATCCATGTGTATCCTTAAGATATCCCTAAAATTAGCCATGCTTTCAATTGATTGATGGGAGAATGGTGGAGAATCTAAAAAAAAGTGGTGAATCCATGTGTATCCTCAAGATTACCCCTAAAATTAGCCATGCTTTCAATTGATTGATGGGAGAATGGTGGAGAATCTAAAAAAAAGTGGTGAATCCATGTGTATCCTCAAGATTACCCCTAAAATTAGCCATGCTTTCAATTGATTGATGGGAGAAGTGTGGAGAATCTAAAAAAGGTGGTGAATCCATGGTTTTCAATCACCATCATGTTTGCTTCAACTGGACATCCCACCATGATATGGGATGAATCGTCACTGAGGGTGGATGGATCGGTTGGATCACAGCTACTGGCTACTGGTACCAGGGTGAACTGACCGCCGATATGATCTATATATTAGCTGGGATATTATATGTAATATTGGACACCACCATATTGTAAACTTGGTGTTTGCACCTTTTTATGTGCTAAGTTACCTGTAGACCGTGTTTTGGTTTGACACAAATCCGCTACATTCCGGACATGCAGAAGCTTGCGCAAGTGCTTGGGTCATGTCCAATGCGCCATTTTGAGGGCATGCCCCATTTTCAGACGCACCGGTAACTGTGATCTTCTGATGAACACGCAATAAGACACAAAAAATAATTCAGAAAATCGTGATTTGAGCACATGTTAACCCTGGGATGCCTGCTGGGATCTCCGAATAACAAAAAAAAACGGACAATACCATGATTCTCATTCAATTCCTCAGCTATTTTCCAAAAGCTCCCCATGTCGCTTGAAGGAAAGTTCGAACCCCTGAGGCCTGGAAGAAAGCACAATTGCAGCTGGCAATGCCTTCAAGTGACTTGACGTCGAATCATGGGTTTAGCGGAACATGTGGACTGGGTGAATCTTGGATGGAATCTTGGATGTGGGTGTTCATCAGTATTTTTGCCGTATACAATATATACATACTGTGTATATATATACACCATTTTTCATGTTTCACAAAAATACCCAAATATGTATAAATATGTGCTATTCTCATCGATTCTGGCTATTCTGGTAGCTGCTAGATTTGTTTCACAGGTTATGTCTAAGGTCAGCCACATATTGACCTGGGGATGGCTCAAAAGACGAAGAGATCGGTTCGGGAAAGGGAGATTTTAGGCCACAAGAATTGCAATTTTCTTGTTGTTAACATAATTTGTTGGCTGATGATCCCCGTTACTGGTTGGATTAGGCCGCCGCTAGAGGATGTTGTTTTCCTTTGTTTTTTTTGTGGTTCCACCCCCAGACTTCTGGATTGAGATTAAGATTGGTTCCTTTTTTGCTGCGTGATACCCTCATGCTTTGTTTATTTGAATCTACCAATGTTTCACTTGGTGATGTTTTTCCTTTTTTTCCCTTACACTTCCCATTTCTGTAGATCAAATTGTCCACTGTCCGAAATGAAAAGTCAACTGTTCATGCTCAAGTCTTTGTTGATCTTTGTTGTCCACGTTTCAGTCCCCACAAGTTTATCCAATTCTTTGCTCGCTGACAAAATAGCAATTCTTCATGACAAGTTATCCAAGTTGTCCGATGTGTTCAGTAACTTTTCCCATGTTTTCCCATGAAATCCAGGTGTTGAGCACCTGTTTGGTGAACCCTTGAGCTTCGATACCTGGCAGGCACAGTAAAAACACAGGGCCCCCAGATATGGCCATTGTTTAAACGGGAAATCTTGGGATGAGGTGTTAAAGCATGAAAACGGTGTCTGTTTGTCCAACTTATACTGCTTGGTGGTTTGGAACATGGCTTTTATGGTTCCATTCAGTTGGGAAGAATCATCCCATTTGACTTTCATATTTTTGAGAGGGGTAGGTCAACCACCAACCAGTATTTGTGAAAAAAGTTGTCATCCTGATTCTGAAAATTCCTGAAACGTGAGATGTTCGAACAAAAACAGAGTTTCAATCGGATTCAAAAAACAGATTCGTGGGGCTTGCATGCCTGAAAGAAACATGGAACGCCGCCCTGTCGTAATTCCATCTAAAAGTGGGATTTGATCATCGAAAAAGGATTTGATTAAAGAATAATGGTTGTCCAGAACGTATAGTATATCGGCCATATGTCCATCCAGTCAATGGAATGGAGCACCCTAGTTTTGGACAAATCCCGATTTTAAATCATCTGAAAGCTGACATGTGGAACCCAATAAATCGGATTACAAGACGATCTTTTGAAAGAAATGTGGAAATTTGCTGGTTCCATGTTAGTGTTCTGTGGGTACCAACAGAATATGGAGATTTCATGAGATTTCAGCAAACACAAATGAATCACAAATGAGCATTGCACTAACAAAAACATGCGTTTTTTTTTTTGCGTAGTAGTCACTAAGTCAACCCATCCAAGAAGATTTAAGACCCTGAATTATGGTGAATCTGGACAAATGTGATCTCACGGGCAGATCAGAAGGACAAGCCCACGGACTGCTAGTCAATGTTAATCCTATCCTATCCCCCAATCATATCAAATATCCCCCGTATGCCCAGCCCAAATGAATAGCCATGAATAATTAATCATGAGCCATCGGCCCATCAATGTTGGCTTATAAGTTGTCCCCATAACTGACATATCTTCATTACCCATGTGTGTTGGATACACCTCCAGGGTAAAGCCATCTGGTTGGTGGTTTGGAACATGGCTTTTTATTTTTCCATATATTGGGAATAATCATCCCATTTGACTTTCATAGTTTTCAAAGGGGTAGGTCAACCACCAACCAGTATTTGTGGAAAAAAAGTTGTCATCCTGATTCTGAAAATTCCTGAAACGTGAGATGTTCGAAGAAAAACAGAGTTTCAACCGGATTCAAAAAACAGATTCGTGGGGCTTGCATGCCTGAAAGAAACATGGAACGCCGCCCTGTCGTAATTCCATGTAAAAGTGGGATTTGATCATCGAAACAGGATTTGATTAAAGAATAATGGTTGTCCAGAACGTATAGTATATCGGCCATATGTCCATCCTTATATGGTACAGTACCTCCATTTTAGGATCCTGAAATTCTCATTGAATCAACCAACATCACTGGAGAACTTTCCGCCAGGACGTGGAAGCTGCCGGGGTGATGTGGCTGGAGGTCACCCTTGATGACTTGACCCATAGCCATTTATAAACAGAAAATTCATGTGTGTATAACATATAATAATAAAGATGATAGTAATGATAATAATAATAAGAATAATAATAAAAATAATAATAATAATACATGTATTAATACAAATATATATATATATTAACAATATATACATATATCAATAAATAAATATATATATGTATATATATATATTTAATATAGATAGCAATCCCCCAAAAAAATAGAAAAGTCATTTCTATGCACGGGTGGTATGTCTGAAAATTGTGTATACCCATCAAATGGAAAAAATACAATTAATCATGGAAATTAAGGGCACTCTATTTACAGACAAACTTTTACATGTATATATATGTAATATATGTATGGGGATATTTAATTTAGCTATTCAAACTATATATCATTGTTAATGAGATTGAATGAGCTACTATAAGTTGGCAATTTTCCCACAGCTATATGTTGCTGTAGTTTACTGGTGGGTAAATCGGGATATATAGTAGCTAGTTTTAAAAAAAATGATTGAAATGTTTTAAACAGACATAGGGTACATCTATATACCGTATATATATATATATATACGCGCAACGCCTGGGCTTTGCCCAGTTGCAGCGTATAGGGTCCCCATTCCCAATCAAACGTTGTTGCAACTCTGCATTCCATTGGGAAGATCAACAAAGGTATTAGGGAATATCACCCCCCCCCGTTAAACTCTACATTCAACTGGGAAGATCAGCAAAGGTATTAGGGAACATCAAAATCCCATCCCCGTTTACCTTTACATTCAATTGGGAAGATCAACAAAAGTATTAGGGAATATTAAAATCCCAACCACGTTAAACTTTACATTCATACGGGAAGATCAACACAGGTATTAGGAAATATTAAAGTCCCACCACTGTTCAACTTTACATTCATTAAGGATCTTCAATAAGGGTCCCCGTTAAACTTCTACATTCATTGAGGATCTCCAATAAGGGTTTTAAATTCTCCCACCCCCGTTAAACTTCTACATTCATTGAGGATCTCCGATAAGGGTTTAATTCTCCCACCCCCGTTGAACTTCTACATTCATTGAAGATCTTCAATAAGGGTTTAATTCTCCCACCCCCGTTAAACTTCTACTTCTACATTCATTGAAGATTTTCAATAAGGATTTAATTCTCCCACCCCGTTAAACTTCTACATTCATTGAAGATCTTCAATATGGGTTTGATGATGATGGTGATGATGATGATGATGCTGATGATGACGATGATGATGATGATGATGGTGTTGGTGGTGGTGATGGTGGTGATGATGATGATGATGCGTTGCCAGTCGTGGTTGCGGTTCCGGGCACAGCCCAGGCATTTGCCGTATATATATATATATGAGATTGGCAATATTTTCAACCAACACTCTATTGGTGGTGTTGAATTTATGTCATATCCGACTGGTATCTTTCTCCGTGCAAAGCTTCATATTTCTCCAAGAGTACAACCAACTCACGACTGACTTTTCTAGGTTGTTTGAAGGTGCCAAGAGTAGAACGATTTTTATTGTCCCAAATTATGATGGTACTTGGTAGATCGTAAGTGGGTTATAACACCAAGTATAACTGGACGTCTAGCCTATAATTATCCTACATATACCTAGGGTTATTGCGTACAATTCCGGAGGTGAAGCACCAAGTAAACTCCGCATGCTGGTTAAATCTCATTATACTGTATCACCATTTTTCCTAGGTTTTCCTAGAGAAGGCAAGACCCAACACAGCACTGCATGCATCGCGCCGCAGCGCGGCAGTTGTCCGAACTCGATGGCACTGGCTGCGTGAACTACGTCACCGAGTTCAAGTGGAGGTGCCAATTGCTACGACTAAACAGTGTTGGGTCAAATTCGCTGGTGAAAGGTACGCATGATCTTGATGCAATGAGATGATGTGGGATGTATATGGTTCATTCATGTTCATTCTAGATTCTATGTATACATATATATATATACATGTATTAGATGATATCGGATGATATATAGATAAATTTAATCCTAGTTCGGAACAGTTCTGAAAAGGATGATGTGGGATGTGGATTATGTTTAGTACCCTAGCCATTTACAGTTTGCCTTATCGCGTTTCGAGGGTCCTGCCTTCAATCGGATTGATCCCACATCATATATCATTAATATTCCCAACATATCATATCCGCATCAAACGGTTGGTCATACGCAGTAGTAGTGTACGCCCATGTTGTGTGCGGTTTTCATCCCAGTGTATCCCAGGTTATATTCCCAATAAAATTGGCAAAACAAAAGCCATGTTTTGATGTCGACTCCAGTTATATGAGTGAAGTGAAAATAAGTGAAACATGTGAAACCAATCAATAAATTTTGGGCCAACATTTTGTTTGAGGTGAAAATGGTGGAATATCAGACTCTGCCAGAAGTTATAATTCGATTTCAGGGTATGTAGACCTTGCGTGTATGGCTCAAAATTGGTAACTCCTAAAATTGGACGGTTTATAAAGTGTAAGATATGGCAGATTTTGTGGGCTGATGTTGACCCGATGTCAGCTTGCCATACCTATGTGTCAAGTACCTGATTTTTTTCCAAATGTCATATCTTAGGAAAGGTTCAAACATGTTAAAACAATTCCTCAAAGGTACCAACAACTACCGGTAAATACACACCGAACAGTATACTTAACAAATGATACCTCAAACAGTCCAAGTCAGATATCATCCATGCCAGGATTGTATGGTAGTCTCGTAGTCTTACCAATGTTTGGGAGAAAACCGGTGGAAGGGGGGGTGGTATACAGCACCTTGTACAGATTAGACACCCAATAAAATGTCTAAACAGTAAAGTTCCAACCAATACAAATCAACAAATACCAACAACATCAATCCTACATCCCCATTAATGATGAATGAATCTCCATTTGGACACTAAAATTTGTGCTAAAGCAAGAACTAGAATCCAACATTTTGAGATTGTCTATATACATTGTTTACTGTTAGATCACGATTGTATACTATTGTATCATTTGTATCCAAACCAAACTTAAATCCAAACCTTAAATCACAGAATTGGACAGAGGTAACATGTTCAGGGAACTCAGAAACTTAGGGAAATATCATATACGGAAACATGTTTTTCTTCAGTAATCAGTCCCTCAAACCTACCCAATTATCGAATCTGACACGGTTCCTAACTCCGCAAAAAGTCCTCCCACATATTCATAACAAAAAGTCCCGAAACAAAAGTCCCCATGTTACAGTCTGGCTGGTGGTTTCAAACATGTTTTTCCATTTCATATATGGGATGTCATCCTTCCCATTGACTTTCATATTTATTTTTCAAGATGGTGGCTCAACCACCAAGCAGCAGTACATAGCTTGGTGATCTCAAAAAAAAACCCTCCACGGATTCCCCGGATTGCCCTTGGATCGGCCACATGGATGGGACAGATTGACAATCCCCAAGTCTCACCGGAGATGTCTTTTGATTACCCGGCCTGGGATCTACATACAAAAAGCTATTGAAGTCATGACCATAGAAAGTTCGTGAGTTTTCCCATTGATAGCATGGTGGATCTTTCTCCATAGTTTTTTGTAAACGTTTACCAGAGGGTACTCCAGATTTAGGGTCAGACTGAAATGCGTGGGGAGAAAACGGCATCATTGGTGTCCTCGATGCTTGATGTTTCCTCAGCAGGGTTTCGGCTGCCACTTACGAACTGTGATCCTCCAAGTGGTTGGTTGAACCAACAAAAAACAGGGGTATCGATTTTCGAGAATCCCAGACTATCCAAGTTTATCCAAGTTCATGGTCCCTAGAATGGTCTTCTTACCTGGGTAAGCCCTGGTTTGGTAGGCTGGGTATATAAACCAAGTTGATTACATTCAGTTAAACCTTGGTAAAATTATGTGGTTCACCCGCTTTCCCTAGTTGGGGTGAACCAACCCACTTAGAATTCCTGGGGTGAACAAACAAATGCACTCAGAATCCCCACTATAAAATACCAAAACTACACTGGTAAAATAAACCAAGTCCCATCCAACATTGTTTAACTATACATCCAATGTGTGAGATAAGTGATAGTTATATTATAAAGGTTTTTTTTTATAATATATCATCATATATCCACTCGAAAATTCAGTAAAATGAGACTTCAAAAGCCAGTTGAAGTTCATGAGTTAACTATGGCTCACCATTTTTCACTCTATAATTCACTATGGTTGTCAAGTTCCTGAGTTAGGTCTAACATGGTTTAACAATAGTCTATAGTTCGCTATAGTTAATTGTCATATAGTTACTATGGCTCACTATTTTTCACTCTATAGTTCACTATAATCACAACAAAAAACACTAAATTGAACCCTCCAAATATGGTTTAATATCATATCAATATATCACATATCACTCTGCCCGTTGCCCCTTGTTCATCTCGACCATGACCGTTAAACCGCCGCGAGGCCCGAGACCATGCAGTCCTTCTTCGCGGTGCCTGGAAGTTCCACCAGCAGTGGCCTGGTGAAATTCACCGTGGAGGAGAAACCTGCGAAGCCTGCGATTCGCAAAGTTGCTTGTAGTGGCTAATAGTGGTTAATATCCCATTAATAGTGGTATAAACCATCATATCCAAACAACAATTGGTTAATATAAATGGGCTATACCACTATTAATGGGTTAATATAAACCAACAACAATGGGAATATGATGATGACCTGGTTGGTGGTGACTGGAACATGGCTGGATTATGACTTTCCATTCAGTTGGGAATGGAATAATGATCCCAACTGACGAACTCCATGATTTTTCAGAGGGGTAGGTATACCACCAACCAGGTTTTAGAGGGACATCATCCCCTTTTAAAAGGCCGAACTATTCAGTTACTAACCGTTAGTGAAATATGATAATTGACCCAGATGTATTTTTTTAAAATGAAAATCAGCACTTTTCCTAAATGAATCTATAAATGGGATTTGACCAAGTAATAGTTGAATTTCAAATAATTTCAATAACTAATAGTTATTGGTTAAGGGATTTATAACTATAACTAGAACCATTAACTTATAACTTAGAGGTTTCCTGAAATGGGGGTACCCCATAAATAGATGGTTTATAATGGAAAATCATATGAAAATGGATGATATAGGGGTACTCCTATTTTAGGAAACCTCCATATATCTGGTAAATTAATATGGACCCTGAAAACAAGAATTTTCGAGTGGAAACTCATCTTTCCACCCCTATCTACCAGGGTCTATATTAACTGGAGGGCAACTATAACTATAATTATAACTAGTAATTATTGGTTAATGTGTTTATAAACAAACCCATTGGTTTGGGTTAAGTATAGTCGATATCGGTAGGTTAATATCTAATATAAGCAGGTTAACTGAACTGTAGTTAACATTACTCAATAGTGGGTTAATAGTAGGTTAACTAATGGAATATAACTATATTCACAAACAAATAGTACCTAGTAATAATATCATAGTTGGAGAATTTGTTTTGAATGCCATGTCAAACCACAAACAGTTTCCGTAGTCAAAACAATCCAATGATTATCACTACGCTGCTATTGTTGGTTAGTACATCCACAGTTTTTGTCTGTCAAATCCGGTGTTATGTGAATTTTCCTGTTTAGGAACGTTTGTTTATTTTGTTTTCTCATTTCTTGTTGTTGAGGATGATGGCGTTGATGTTTTTTTTGGTATGTTCCTTGTTTTTCTTGGGGGGTAAGAGTTGGCACAATGTAGCAACTTCACCAATGTGTCAACTGGCTGGCAGGACCCCTCAGGAGACATGGAACTGGATGACGACTTGAAGCTACTGGGACGCGGGATCGCTAAGGCAAAACGTGGTAGCTTGATATGGGCACACAACCAACGGTAACCAAGAAAATATGAGGATAGAATTGGCAATGTAATGGGTATAATGGATATATATATATATATATATACTGAGTATACATATATATATACACATGTCCTATCAGTATCTCTATATATATATATATTATGTTTATTTACTTATTTACCGTATCAGTATGTACATATGCAACATCTGCATATAAACGGTTACGTGGTGCTTCACCCGAGGAATCGTGATGGGGGTTAGTTCACCCCAGTTCCAAGTGTATTCAGTAGGGCAAGTAATGTGAACTAGTCTGATGTACATTGAGGTGGCATTTGGTTTCCGACGATGCTTCAACCCAGCTCCTTGAAGGATGTTAATTAGCATTATGGATGCATCCAACCTGGCTGGAGAAATGCCGAAACTTTGGGTTTCCCAGTACAAAACAACGGGGAGTTGGATATGATGGGTATATTGATGCATATTTATCATATAGATCATATCCAACTGGCGTATATTGATCTATATGATCTGATCTTTGGGTTTATGCGCAAATTGGATATGTTCCCTTCAATTCAGTGGTTCATCATGTAAGGAACATGTTTGGGTGCTATACTATAACCCATTTTCGTACGCACAAGATCGCACAAGGCACCATAGCCATGAAGACTCACCTGAGTCAGCCTCCGCATTGACACCAGCGGTCACCAGCCGTGTCAACCTGGCGCCCTAGCGTGTGGAGTTTTTCCACCAAGTGCCGGATGCGAAAAACCACTTGTTTCTGGTAGATTCCATCAATCCATTGAGTGACTTTTCTCCGGAAAAATAGGGTACCATTGGTACCATCAATCCATTGTCGTCACTCGATAATTGTCACTTTCAGAATCATTTTCCGTGTAAACAAATGCAAATTTCGGGATATGCCCCATTGCTGGACACACCCATTTATCTGTACAATGTGGTGCCCTGAGTTATAAGCTGGTTTATAAGCCCCTTAAGTATCTCTATACGTAAATATCTTCATATATACCTAGTGGAACCTAGTTATAAAACAGCTCAACAAACTGTTTGGAGCAAAACACATTGTTTGGGATGTATTGGTTTTTATGTGTATACTGTTTATACGTGTGTATACTTATATATATATATGTATACATATTTCCCTATTTCGGATGTCGGCCCTATCTCCCTATCTCCACATACCATTGAGTGGTATTTCATATTTCTCCAGCTCCAGCTCCACAGGTTTCGGGTCAATCTGATTCCTGAGCAAAACGAGGAGGAGAGCGCGGCTGGAGGATCTAACCCAGCTTTGAATGGCGAAAAGTGATGGAAAATGGGGGATTTCGCCAAAAGAATGCGATTCAAATATGCCATGTGTAGTAACTTGGTGTATAATATGGCAACATGTGCAGTAACTTGGTGTATAACTTTGCAGTAACTCAAGCTGTTTGTGCGGAAAATCCTGGCATGAGTGGCATAACATTGCAAACTTTTGCCCTATACCTAAGCCGCATACAAAGATCCCCGAGAGCAGCACCATCAGCACCAGGAGGGAGCCATGAAGAACCTCCACCGCATGCAGGGGACCCCGAGATTGCTGAGTAGAATTGTTTGTAGGAACAGCGAGTCATGTTTGCCAGTTTGACAATTGCAGATGATGATGATGATGATGACGACGACGATGATGATGATGATGACGACGACGACGACGATGATGAGGATGATGGTAATGGTGTCGGTGATGGTGCTGGTGGTGATGATGATGAACATTATCATGAGCACTATCACTTTCACTATCATTATCATTAATTATTATCAGTCTCATTTTTTATTAACAGTAACAATAATCATTGTGTGTTGTTACTAGTATTTAGTATTGTTACCTGAACATTCCTTCGATCAATTATTTTTGGTAGTTTTGGAGTATGACCTAAAACGACCCAGTTTTCAGAATCTCGCCTAATTCTACTAGTTTGCCTGGTTTTGCTTCCTAGTGGCCACACTATCACCACAATTGACATTTTGAATATGACTGAACATGGCTTGCATCCTGGCTGCGTCCCAAAGACATACCAGGCCATGCTCATATCCCGAGCACCAACGCATATAAATGCACATAACTGCACCCAAAATTACCCGCAAAACGCCCGCAAAAATCCGCAAAACGCCCGCAAAAACCCGCAAACGCCCCCAAATCCAAGAATCTGGTAAATTTGTATAATTTTGGGAGCGCGCAATTAAACAGAAACCCACTTGGATGTGCGGCTCCATATTTTGAAAGCAAAATACTGGTGAGAAGACAGGGCCATGCCGATGGGAAACACAGCCATGACATACCACGCCTAACTTTTTGGGGAAACGCTCGATACGACCATAAATTTGATGAAACGCCTGATTGTGCAAAACGACTTTTTTTTTTAGGAGTTGGGAGGCCCAGGTATGATGGTGATGTTCATGCAGTCTCCTTGGCAGTTAATCCCAAGTAGCAACTAGGTGACATGAAACGACGCGTGGTACCCTCCAGGAAGTTCGAGTAGCTGAGTAGCTATGGAAAACCCACCATTCATTAGATTCATTAGGTGGTCTTCTTCCTTGGGAGACCATGGTTACTCCGCATAACTATGTACGCTTTTCTTACTGGCGCATTGTCGTGGGAATGGGGGAATAACTCATAACAACTATTGTCAATCCATTCCCTCATTCTTAGGCACACGCAAGTTTTTTGGAGAATAAGTAATTGAGCCATTAAACATACCCTGGTTGATTGGTCACGAGAGGGACTTATACCTCATTTACCGGGGATTATGATAACCCATAGTAGGGAAACCTATCAACCAACTAGTATAATGAGATGAGATAGGCGTATTTTTAATACTTTTTAAAGGTTCAATTATCAACAATCATCCCGTTCCCCCATTCCCTACTAAGCACCTAAGTTATTTGTTTGAATAGTAAGTATAGCAATCTCCAAAAAGATAGAACAGTAAAATCCCTCCATTATAAAACAGTGATAGATGACTTGTTTCCCATGTTTGTTGGTGTTTTACTACAGGTTTTTGTTGATCCATAGGGAGCCCCCAACTGTTAGACGTCGCCCCGAGCTCCCGGAGCTCCGGGAGCGCTCCGTGAAGGTCACTTGCGTTGGTGGGCGGCAAAAGTTCGTTGGGGGCACCCAGCTGGATGTCGGACTTGTTGAAAAAAAGGAGGAGTGGAAGATGGCCCAAAACATCTATGTTAACATGTTTTTTTTGGGGGGGGGTTGATAATTTTCTATTTAATACATGTGTCTATAAGAGGGCTCAATATTTGGGCTCATGGGCCGCCAGCGCACTTGTTTTGCCTAATCTTGAGTGGGAGAAGAAGAGTTTCTCCATTGGTGGGTTTCCTGTGGAGTTCTTTCTGGGGCTGTGCGAGATCGCGAACCGAAGGGGGTGATCGGGTGATGTTTCTCTCCATCATTGCGGGAGATGTTGAGACTTCAGAGGCTGCCAGGCTTCCCCGAAAAGATGGAGAGAGCTTGAAGAGCTCCATCGATCCATCGCGCAAAGACTGGAGATGCGCCAGGAAATGTCAGGCATCTTTCATCAAGTCTGGAAATGTTTGGAATAATTACCTATCCTCTTTTTTTGACACCTCGTCACACAGTGTACTGCAGACCCAAGATCTAAGGATGACCTGCAGGAGTATGAGCAGTTGAGGGTCAGGGCAATTGATTCGGAGGACTTGCACCCATGAGCAACACAGCAAGATGACATGAAGATATAAAAAAGAAAACATGTTTAACTACATAATCTACTTACACACAACTGTGCATAATTATATATGTAATTACTGCAAGGTATGTAGTAATATCATTTAATTATACGCATACTGATCAACTATATTGTGAGACAATGTTTGTTTTAGCAGGTATCTAAGATTAGCGAATAATGTTTCATACCATGCATTACCATGCTGGAAATTAGCACACAACCCAAGAAGATAGGTTTCAAACTTCCAAAGATTTGGATTTTTGCTCTCCTCTGTGATGACCAGAGAATGCTGCATTTTGAAAGCAAATTTAATTGAAGGGTATTTTGGACAAGATTTGACATATCATTCCGCTGAGGTCTCCAAATATCAAGGCTACGTAGTATCGTCCAATAGTTTCGTCCGTGACATTCCCAGTTATTCTTTGTTGGCAGATCAGCGGATTGGAAAGATCACACAGGTTTACCCGGCCTGGGATCTACATACAAAAAGCTATGGAAAATTGGCCATTGAAATAGTGGATTTTCCCATGAAAAATGGTGATTTTCCAATGGAAAATGGCTATTTATAGTGGATTTTCCCATGAAAAATGGTGGATCTTTCCATTGCGAACTGTGAAAGTTCACCAGAGGGTAGATAGATTACACATGATTAGATTAGATAGGATAGCCATAGACTAGATAGACATACGGGAGCCTTTTGGAAGCCGTCCTGACGGGTGGATGGATCAATGAAAGGATCAATGGATCAATGCATCGATGGATTAAACCCACATACAATATCTGACTTATTCTGTCTTTATCTACTGCCGATTTTTTTGATGGCCGACAATTTGAGAATCATGTTTGTTTGAAAATGGGGTACCCCCCAAACCCCATCGTTGATCATCATTTGCTCCGTTAAAACATTTCCATAAGATCACCGAAAGAGAGAACCACAGTTTCACACCGAGCCATACGATTGGATATTGTTGGTGATACATCCCGTAAAGGTTTTTATTCCTTATTCCCATGGTGTTTCGCATGATACCCCATGAAATGGAATGAATGTGACAGGTCCACCGGTCCAAAAAATAGCATTGTTAGTATTTTTCCGCCTTACATCACCACTATTCCCCTACGGTATCAGCAATATATATATATATATATACCCACTGGTTAATTCAATCCCTATAACTCCCCATTATATCTAATACTCTATCACCATGAATTCGTGAAAATTTATGCTCCAAGCCGTATTAGATGTAACTTCAATTAGTCAACCCAGATGCTCCATGTACGGAATATTTACCTACATAACTGGTTGATTTTTGGGGTAAATGTAGGGATTCATATTCCATACATGGAGCATATGGGCAACTCATGGTTGAGCCCAAGTTCCCCAAGAACTTTTCCATCAGAGCTGATTCCGGTCTCGGCCGAGACGTGCCAGGTCCAAGATCTACCAGATCTTTTTCCACACCGTAGATCCCACCTACCAGGCTTCCTGGTGAGGTTAGTTGACATGTTGAAATAGTAGTGTAAATAAGATATATATATATATATAAATATAAATACATATACACAGCAAGAAATAATGATTATGAAACATCATGCTCATACAATCATTGTAATCAGAATGATCGTGATGTTGCAAACAAAACAGTCATTAGTTTTGAATCATACCATATAGGACACATGATGCGAATATGTATATATATATATGTATACAATATATTATAATATAATATAATATATATATAATATACCCTCTGGTAATTTAACATAGCTACTGAAAATCACCATAGAAATAGTGAGTTTTCCCATTAAAAATTGTATATGGATCAAGCAGACCAAGGCTAGGAGTTTCCCAAAAACTTCATTAAGTCCCTGAAGATTCGGCCGTATTCGATGGGGCCGACTGGTAGTTTTGTTTTTGGGGAATTCCCCCGGCCCTATTTCTACAATTCAATATGATTATAGTGGATGATATGATTATATAGTGGAGGATTATAGATGATTATAGATGATTATAGATGATTATAGATGATTATAGATGATTATAGATGATTATAGATGATTGTAGATGATTATAGATGATTATAGATGATTATAGATGATTATAGATGATTATAGATGATTATATGCCTGATATGATTATATAATATTATATATGGTCCCTTACTTCAATATGATTATATGTGATGCCTGATATTTAAGTGGATGATCGAAGCCCGTATTTCACGCGGCAACTTGAGTTTTTGAACTACACACTTAAACTCAGGGAAATGGTATGCGCGGCAAGTTCCGCAAGATTTGATGATGATGACGATGACGATGAGGAGGAGGAGGAGCAGTTTGTGGGTTCCCATCCACTTCTTTCTTGGCATGCCTACTTTGCTCAGAGTGTTCATGAGTGTTCCAGCACACATTGTTCCCAGAACACCAAGTCTTGTTGTTGAAATCACGGTTATTGCTGGTTAGATCCCCAGTTGTGGTTCAAACGCCCGATTCTCTATAATCCCCATGGTCAAAAGCTGGAGACTGCCATTGGAAGATGATCAACAGTAGCTCAATAGTTTTTCTTACATACCCTCTGGTAAGTTAACATAGCTATTGAAAATGACCATAGAAATACTGAGTGTTCCCATTAAAAATGAGAGATCTTTCCATAGTTATGTAAACGTTTACCACAGGCTACATATACATAGCCATTATGTTTGGAAAGCCATGATGGTCGGAGGACCATTGTGACGTCACTTATGAGCTGTTTCTAGGTGAGTGAATTAGTAATGCAGTCAGAGTAATAATGCCAAACACTTTAGAAGACATTCACGCAATGATAGATATCCATTGAATCCCATGATATTGCCATTTTTCATCCCATGTATACAATAAGTCGCCATCATATTCCCAGATTCAATCCATTTACCATCTGGTTATTTAACATAGCCATGGAAAATCACCATTTTTAATAGGTAAACCCAGGTAAACCATCTATAAATGGGCCATTTCCCATGGCTATGTTAAATAGCCAGAGGGTAACTCCCATGCTCTTCCCATCTCAACGATCGATGATCACTGCAGGTGCACATCAACGTGCCGGATCACCGACAACCCATTTTTCCCACCAATGAGGCGATGGCAACGCGTGCCGCGTCGCAGCCAATAAATTGACGAATTTTGGTGGTGAATTGAATCAAGCCAGGAAAATGGCAACTTTGCCATGAATATAGTAGTTAATGTCATAGAGGATGATGGGAAAATGTACAGGAAACCTCTATATTTGATGGTAAAAACCATGGTTTCCTGTAGATTTTCCCTTAAACCAATCCATTGATAATAGTTAATGACATGATCGAGCTCATTTGGGATAATGTGGAAAACCCATCACAAAATGACTAATGATGGGTGAATAAATCATGGTTAATAGTAAATGTATATAACCAACAGTAGATGAAGAATGCATAACTGTTGTGGGAAAGCCAATGCGACAAACAACTAGCATTTGGGAATGACCCATATATAAAAATGGTGATTTTGGGGGAGGGTTTATTATTGGATTTGAACATGTTTAACCAACAAACAGTTGGATTTTCAACAATAAAAGACGAAATTTCGACTAAACGAATGGACTTGAATGGAAGGATTTTCAGTAGTGAATGATAATTTCATTGCTAAGCCAGTTCAAAAGTTCAGCAGAGAGGCTGCTGGAGTTAGGATCATGATTTTTGGGGGTCCAAAAAGCAGGGGCCCGGAAGAGCCGGAAGAACCGTGTGAAATATAGGGAACATGAGATTTGCAACCACCCTTTGTTGGATGCTATTTTCAGAGAAACCCATCGATCTCAAATATTCTGAGTTCTCATCTCTAAAATTACCAATGGCTTTTAGGGATTGGTTTGTCCGGTCGAAAATCTTCACAAAATGAACCATGGTTTGTACTCCCAACATTGATTGGGGGGGTGGTCTTGCAGATTTCCCAACCAAGTCTACAAATCTCATCAACTCTCAGAGTCAGTTCTAACGGCGTGACAGTCAGATATGTCCCGAATTCGGATAGAGCTAGGTTTGTGTGTTTACTGTATTATTACTACTAATATTTATGCTAAACTATATTGTATCTATATATATATATATTGCCAAGTATGATCGCATTTGTCATCCGAGAAACATGTTTGCTCGCAATTCATTTGATTACTGTAACAATAAAATAGGTTTGGAACATTTTTATTTTTCCATAATATAAGGGATAATCATCCCAACTGACTTTCATATTTTTCAGAGGGGTTGAAACCACCAACCAGATTAATAATGACTACTGTATAACTAGGTCAATCTTAGATGGATACTTTAATCCTTAGTCTTTTGGTATCAATGGGAATATCTACGTTCACCAGCAATGGTAATAGGTCATTTGTTTATTTGAGATGTGTACTACTAGTTTCATGGATCTGTTCATTTGGGCACCTGGTGGTAACCAGTGGCTAACTCATCCGGAAGTGGGATTCGAAGTAACGATTTTTTTTGTGTCGGTTTAATGGCTATTTAGTGTATTTAGTAACTATATATATATATATATATATGGTTAATGGGATTGTAACTATTGTAACTATATTATATCATATTATATCGCACTTTCTTGTTGAATTGTAGTATATCCCCTCCGCATTTTGGATCCGTGATTGTTATGGTTTTGTTTTGAACATGAGGTATGCCTTCAATCTATGGCAATACATCAACGATAAACTGATGATCAATCAGTGAAGTTGTTTTGTATTCCCATAGTTTAGTCAGACAACCCCCAACATCACATTGTTGATTGTTAGATCTTGTTAGTATATTGTGTAATTTATATATATATATATGAATGTATATGTATATATGTATATATGTATATGTGTATATATATACATATATATACATATATATATATATACATATATATACATATATATATATATATACATATATATATATATATACATGGATTGTCACCAGTTTCTCCCTTAAATGTTACAACTACATACCGATCAAGTAGCTTAATCAATGGTCCCCAGGTCTTCCACCAGTGGCATCCGCTGATGGCTGGCCTCCGAAGGCGTCCACGATTGAGGCGGCAGCCCATTCCAGATATGACTTGAGCGTTGGGATTCAATGAGGATTTCATGGATTTTACCCTCTGGTAAACATACAAAAAGCTATTGAAAATGGTCATTTATAGTGCATTTACCCATTAAAGGTGGTGATTCTCAATACTTATGTTAGTTTACCAGAAGGTAATGAGATTTTAATGGGATGTTAATGGGATGCTCATGGAATGTTAATGGGATTTCAATGGGATTTTAATGGATGCTAATTCGATTTTAATGGGATTCTAACGGGATTTCCATGGAATGATACCTTCTAGTACTTTAACATCTGGAAAATCGCCATAAGTTCAATCGGTCAATCAACCAACTATAAATTTAAATGGCCACGTATATGTTGAAATACTAGAGCGTGTATATCTGTGGATGTCATATTTGGATATCTATTGTATAGAAAATATTTGGGTATATGATATATATTGAATAGATCTAAACTCTCACAATTGTACATGTGGATGCTATGTGAATTGAACAAACATTGGGATATATTATTGGAAATGTTCCAAGAAATATTGATTTGTTTCAACCGGAAATGATCGTCGGACGTGCATACCTTGTACTATATACGATGAAAATCTACTTGTATATGGATGTATATGGTATCTATCCACTGTGTATATACAGTTTCTCATCCAGGATCATATCAATCTGACGATGACGTTCCCATTGTGAAATCACCACGGAAAAGATCCCGCAGTGTTTATGGAGTTGAAAAACGGCCAAGTGCAGTGATTAAGTTGATATTATTAGTTTTATCCATTGGCCGTATCCCCATAGTTGTATCCATTGTGTTGATAAATAGTCCCCATAGTTGTATCCATTGTGTTGATATTCACTATTATTCACTGAATTAGTTGTTGATTACAACCTTTGTTGCTTAATTCTCAGGTTTTTTCAGATGAATTCCGATTTGTGTCGTTTCACACGTCGATTTATTAAATTGTAAAACCTTCATTTTTTCAAACATACTGCATCCCAGTCCCAATTTCGTGAGCGTGATTCAATGAAGGTTTCTGATTCGCTTGAAGCCTATGGACAGTGGACCCCTAGACGCTATGTCCGGAGACCCTTGCCGTGGAGGGTGTGGGATTGTCCAAAAAATGATGATACCCTCTGGTAATTTAACATAGCTATTGAAAATGACCATTTATAGTGGATTTTCCCATTAAACCTGGTGATTTTCCATAGTTATGTTAGTTTACCAGAGGGTACATCACGATAATAATTAATAAAATAGGGCAAGTGATGCTAAACCATGGGGTTTGCAGGTACCTGATTCCGAGATTCCGAAAAGTCATCACATGGGGGTTCATGGTTGGCTCAGGAACCGTCATCTTGAAATGGCTATAGAAAACGCACAATTTTGACAAGCAAAAATGGGACCCCAAAGTTTTACGCTGGGGAATAAAAGGGCTAGTTCACCCAGTCAGGTGCAGGTTAGTTATAGATGTTGCAGGCAAGCAGAGGAATGTGTTTTTTTTTGCCAAGAAGATTGAACAGCACAGCCGTTCAGGGCATACAAACTCATCGGACCTAGTGCCCAATTCGACCAAATTTCATAATGCCAGGTGCAAAAATCTGAAAAACATGTCGCGTCTCAGCAGTTTCGCAAGTGAGATTTTATCAGGGGCTCTCCATTACTTGAAAACACCAGTAGGAAGCACTCATGGGCAGGGATTTAGCAACTTGTTTACGACCTATTTAAGGGATGTTGGAGGATAATTAGTGAAAACTTCACTTCAAAACTCTTAGGGGACCTTTTGTAAGTGGTACATTGTGGTACATTGCCTTATGTCTGTTAGGGTTTCTTTGAACCTATCAGGTGGCAAATGCACATAAATGCACTACATTTGGGCGAAATGCATTTTTTCACGAACATAGAAGAACCGATGTTTGGGGATTGTTCCCCTCGCCAGTCATGATTTATTGCACGGCTGGGAAACATCCATGAATGTTGATTAAACCTTTTTTTGTCAGTCAAATGCCAGCATGTTGTTGGCTAAACATTTTTTGTTAATAACACAGTAATCGAAGGAAGTTTAGAAGTCAAACTTCCGACAATATGGACAGATGAAAAGCAGAGATGGGAAGAGTCAGCGAAGAGAAGAGAAGAAGAAAGAAGATCAAAAAAGAGAAAGTCTCAGAAGAAAGAAGATCCAGGTGTGCGAAAATGTAGGAAAGTCGCGAAACACTGTGTTTTTCCAATGAATTGTGGCTCCGGAGGGTCGAAAAGTAGGCTCGCTAAAGGGGCGGGTGTGGAGCCCGCTGGGCAGATGAGAGATGAAAAAATTGCACGCCGTTGTGGCGCGAAGCACATTTCGAAGCCAAAATGTACAAAGCACCTCAGCTTCGGACCACTTTTGGAAGTTGAGATGTCGAAAAAGTGCACGCTGTTGTGGCGTGTTCCAGGACAGTCAGGGTAAGTTGCACCAGCATCAGCGTCGGGTGATGTTCAAATGGAACATCTTACCACATTCCACATTGCACATTGCAGTTGATTCAACCGTCAACCTTTTTTTGCTGGTAAAACCAGAGTTGTTGGTGAATTGAATACATTTAAAATCATTTAATACCAATTTAATTCAATTTAACATTGTTTAAGCCATTCATACCAATTTTGACCACATGTTTAAACCTCAATTTAGGTTGGTCACTTGGTCAAGCACCCACTTGGTCGGAAAAAAAAACAAAAACGTGGCAGGTGTGGGTGCTGTGGCTGAGACTTCGTGACTTCATCCACCAGCCCGAAGCGTAAGCGTCTCTGGAATGTCTTAGACAGATCCAGACGTAAGCCCATGATGGCTCCATATGGTTTTGTCTAAAATTGGATAATATCATATTATATCCATTTATATCATTTTATATCCCATAATCTCATCAATCTGGTTTCCTCCCTTTAGTCGCCTCTTTGTGGGTGTCCTCCCTTTATAGGCATACCATGGCATACATATATATATACACATATATTATCATAAAATATGTGATATATCTATTATATTATATATATATATAAATACATTGAGTTCATCAGAAGTGGATTCTCGGCGATAAACATGATTTCAGTGGATTTAACATGATTTAACCAAACATGTTTGGAGTTGGTTTATGAATTTGAAGATTTGATCCCAGTTAAACCACCTCAATCAACCTCTTGGGGCTGAAAACAGGAGACCGTCGAGGGTTTTGAGGTACAGTACGGTCTGACATTGTTTATATTTATTTATATATATATATTTACAAATATATATACATGTACACTTTGCAGATCCAAAAAATCATAGATTGATGGGTTCCCGTCAACTCTTCGATTGCGCAGTTGTTGTAAAACCTCATGTTCTGTTGAGGATTTGATTGGTTCTCACAAGCAGGCCTTGTAAGGGGGTCAATCACCATCACTGGATCTGTGTTCAAGAGATCCGCAATTTCTATACGATTCAAAAATCACGGACATTTCTGCCTGGTGCCATCCCTAGATGGTGGAGCATAGGTTTAAGGAGCCAACTTGGTCTATCGGTTTTTTGCGGCCGAAGTTGCCTTTGGCAATCGAGCTTGGCGATGGAACAACCTTCACTTCTATTTGTTTACACTGTTCGGTGGTTTTGAATATGGAAGTGCTTTAGCAAATTAAATCGGGTACCCCTCAAATTTGATGTTTATCAGCATGTTTCGTGTCTAAAATGGCAGGTTTGGGTTGTACTGTACCCCATTTTCAGGCCCACCCATGTAGGCATGGGTTTCGTTCACCGACCCGTATTTTTTGCCTTAATTTAGGCATCATTCATAACATGTACAGTACGTGTATTATTAATCAGTCTTTTGGTTTTAAATTGGACCCATACCCCTATGATTCTTATGTTCCCAACGATGGGACGCTTATCCCAACCGTCGAATTGCTAAGTGGCCCTTGGCCCAGATTTGTGGAGAGCAATGAAACCAGCACCAGATCATTTATAGTATTTATAGTATATATAGTGTAAACATATATATATATATTATAGTTCATGTGTATATATATATATATATATATATATTTAGTTCATAATTTTAGTGGCCCTAAAGTCACATCATTTGATATGATTTGTTGGTTCAACCATCAACTTTTGGATTGAAACCACCGACCAGATGACCAGTATGTTTTGGGCAAACTGTGTGTTTTTCAAACAGCAGCTGTACTGTTATTATCAAGGCCACTGCAACAAGGGCAACATCACATGTTTTATGCTGATTTATGCTGTGTATAGACTGTAAATACCAACATTCCTGAAATTTCATGCTTCTGCATATTTCCAAATTAGTTTCCCATTGGATTTCATCATATATACATATATATATATATATTTCCCAATATGTTTCCGTTATATCTAATCATATTTTATCATATCTCCTGATCTACTGTTTTAGTTCCCACTATTTACCAATCATTTGTCCATCACATAGTGTTCCAATATTTTCCCAGAGTACTGCCGGATTTCCCAGCTTTGATTGCTGAAGCGTAGCTCCTGATCTAACTCGTGCGATCAGACCCGTGTGCCCGCTGAAGCGCGCGCCTCGTGAAAAAAACATGCAGATATGTCACCCAAATTGGGATTTTAACCAAGAGGAAATGTCAGTTTAAGGGATATTACGATGATATTGATATTCTTAATGGAATTTCTGGTGATATTTATGAATATATATATATATGAATATGATGTTGGTAGGTTAATTCGACGTTGAACTGGCTAGCTCAGTTAACTCTGGCTATTAAAACCTCGAGGAATGCAGGATTTTCATGGGTCTGTGTGTGGAGCAATCTTAATGTTTCAAAACATGGTCTGAAACTTGGGCAACACCCAAAAGTCATTTAGTTGCAGAGTAAACATGATGATAAAGCAATGGATTTAGGAGTACTCAAGATTTGGTACCCACACTGTGGAAATCTCGATGCACCAACCAAAAAGGAGGTATGCTCCGGTAAATTGACAGGACAGGACAAGGAAATTGATTGGTTTTGATTTCCGAACATGATCTATGTTAAGTCACAGTCCATTGTAGATACGTTTATCTGGTTGGTGGTTTGGAACATGTTTTATTTTTCCATATATTGGGAATGTCATCATCCCAATTGACTTTTATATTTTTCAGAGGGGTAGGTCAACCACCAACCAGTCTATTGTTAAGTCACTATGTTATGCATAAACAGTACAGATCAGTTTTGATCCCTAGCTGGGACGATCCAATGAACTAAGATTTCCTGGGGAATCGCGGGTGTCTGATGGGCCAAATAGCGATGAGACCGTCGCTTGAAAAAATGATGTTTCTAACATCTAGAACACCCACATGTTTTTGGTTTGTTTACCATACTTGAATCTGACCTTTTTTATTAGCCGGTCTTGTTCTTTTTTATTCCGAAATGGATTACAGGAAACAGTCTCCGGAAATGTGTGTGTGTGTCTCCTCGCATTTGGAGGACCAAGTCCTCATTTCCTGGTTTCTTGCTATCTCAAAATTGGCTTTTACAGGAACATTTACAGGAACCCCTCTATATTTTCTGGGGGTCACAACATGGTTCACCACAAAGTTTGCGAAACAAATCAATTCAGCGATTGTCCCTGTGAAGCCTGAAGGAAGCGAGATATCGTGGCACAGATATGGGGCAGATCTTCATTACGTTGCCACTGGGCGAGAAGCTGGCTGGGTAAAGTGACTGGTTTTTTGTGGGTTAGTGGTATATGTTGGGCAATAGAGGAATATATATAATCACTCAAGATTTACGAATCACCCATGGTGATGATAACCGATGAGGTAGCATATCATGATAATTAATCACTCAATAAATAGAGGAATATAGTTAAACTATATAATCACTCAGGATGAGTGGGATGAGGAGGAGGATGATGATGATGAGGAGGATGAGGATGAGGATGAGGATAAGGATGAAGAGGATAAGAATGAGGAGGATAAGGAGGATAAGGATGAGGAAGATGAGGATCACCCAAAATCCATCAGAGTTTGAGTCCAAGAGGTCCAAGAACTGTAGAATGAATTTCTATCCGAATTCTATCCTGTTATTTGTTCATGATCCAAAAGGATGGCAGAAATACATCGACATTTCAGAGGAGTTGACCCTAGCCCACCCATGTCCATGAGCCGATCCAGTTCGCAAGTAGCCATCGCTGTTGACTATGTCTCTTCCCAACTGATGGGTTAACAACCCACAGTATATATATGGGTATGGATCAATACCTATTAATACCATTTGTATGGGGATGAACATCCATTTACCAGCTATTTTGATGTTCACCAGGGGTACAAGGTTTTGACACACTGCCATATATGAAAGTACATTATCAACATTATCAATACGGATATGTACAGTACATTTGGATGTGTCATACGTATCGGCAGAATGCATATCATGAACGTGCAGCCATGTATAGATAATTTAGACTATATCGGTATATGTATATACATATCTGGTTGGTGGTTTGGATTGGAGCATTTTTTCCATGTCTTGGGAATAATCATCCCAACCGACCGATATTTTTTCAGGGGGGTAGGTCAACCACCAACCAGATACACCTCCGCTTATGCTGAGCAATCACTCCTAAGTCCAATGATTTTCCCAGCCATAAACCTCCATTTTTTCAACTGTTCCAGGATTTCCCAGCGCCCTGCCATCTTTCATCATCACTATATTCCATTGAAACACTATCCATGGAGTAATGGAGTATATCCTATGGTTTAATGGATAGTATTTGATTTAATGAATAGTAATATCATATACATTCATATACTATCCATTAAATCCCAAAAAAGTCCCGAGTTGTTGATGCTTCAACTGGTGAAAAAAATGTTAAACCAGCTTTCTGTTATTGCCGTCTTGAAATGCCTTGCCACTTACTAGTCACTGGTCTAGTGACCGGGATCGTCTGACAGGCCAGATGGGCCGGACGGGCCTGATTCCGTCGAGTAGCTGCAGGCGGCACGTGAAAATTGTGTCCAGCATCCATGAAAGATCCCTATGGATGGTCCACCACAGGATTCGTATGTGGGTAACCGGGAAATCTCATATACTTGTGAAAAAAACGGAGGATCACCCTACTTGTCCTACAGAAAACTGTTTTTTTTTCAGCCACTTACTGGGCTGATGCAGACGAGTTCACCCTTTGCAATCTGCGAGTTGCATACAATGATACACGAGGCCCCAAGATAGCAAAGTTAATAAACAATAATAAACATAAGTAGCTTAACTTAGTTGATTTATGTTGGATATATCGAACTAGGTCATTCAGGGTATGAACCAGCTAATTCCTGTGGTGAATTAACCCACTTGTGACAGTGATGCCCCAAAATCGTTAGCTCAGATGGATTAGTTGACTACGTTGACTAGGTTGTAGATCTCTAACTATATCTATAACATTCTATAATTCTCTATAACTATCACATGTTTGTTATAATGTTATACCAGTTTACTATTTTACTAAGTTGTTTTAATAAGTTGCTCAGCTGAAAATGGCCCCCATGGCCCCCGTATCTCGCTCACCAAAAGCTGGTCACCATATTTGGGGGGATCTATCGATCTATTTTTGTTGCCCCCAAATATGGTATAATCCATGGACAAATAGTGGTTGATAGTGGTTAAGAGTGGTTAATAGTGGTTGATAGTGATTAATTGAGTCACTATCTGGTTGGTGGTTTCAAACATGGCTTTCATTTTCCATTTCATATATGGGATGTC